CCTGGTGGTGAAGCACGATAAGCGGCGGTACTGGCCTAATTTGTTATAGGCCTATTATTACTCAAGACTTTTGTTGCATACTGTACCTTAATGTTTTTAGCTTGCATGGTAGACGGTGCCCAACCATACAAGGTATCCATCCAAAGCTGAAAAAATGGGGGAAAATGGTTAAAGGTAACAGATTTTGTCAACACAACTGAAAATCGTTCAAGTCACGGCTTAAAGTCCTTGATTTATGTTGTCACATCTAACAAATGGAGACAGATCAAAAGTTTATTAGTTCAATTGCTCAGCGTTTACGCATATTTAGTAATGTAGGCATCTCCATCCAACTAAAGATCACTTTTGGGACCGGGGTTTGCATGGTCTATAGCAAGTTTGGTCTCTAGTTAGCATAATAAAGATAAAAGATATTTGTTAATGTGGATGGGACCACAGAAAAGTGGTCTTTTAATTGGAGGTGGTATTTAATTAGAGGGAGACCATTACCAAAAGTGTTAGTTTCAGAGGTTAGGCCTATCTTCGACATTCTTTTACAAAGATCACCTGCTCGTAGAGAATTTATCGTGTTCTGAAATAATAATATAAGGAAATCAAACTGTTACAATACTCACATCAAACTCCATTTTACCAGAGTGCTGAAGTTGTAAAAGAGAGGTTAATTTTTCCAGGTGTCGTTCTCTACCATATATCCACTTTCGTTTACCTCAACTCTGGCATTCGTTACGCTGCAGCATGAAAGGATAATAAAATGTTCAAGTGACCCTCATAAACATTTTTTATTTATGTAAAGCGCATGAGGCAACTTTCCTATATTAAGCGATATACAAGACTTAAATTGTTATCATCATCATCATTATCATCATCATCATCATCATCATCATCATCATCATCATCATCATCATCATCATCATCATCATCATCATCATCATCATTATAAGCGGTACCGTATCATTCCAAAGCAATAGACAACTTCTTCTCAAACAGTGAAGTTTGATTTAATACCATATGTTGGTCTCATACCCAACAGGCCTATCTCTATCCATGGTTCACACAAGTGCTCCAAACCAATATGTCCACTCTTCCGGTTCGAGGGGTATTGATTGTGAAACCAGGGAACAGTGTAATTTCACTGTTCCCTGGTGAAACTATTAGGGGCTTGGTAATACCTGGTTCTTTGATTTTGCTATTTCATATATGAATTTTTATACTGTAGAAAGAAAATTAATCTAAAACATAGGCAATAACTACTAGTTCCAAAATTCTTCGATATTAGGTCGACTAGAAACAAAGATACAATCATATGATCAAATTTCAGAACGCGGAAATGCCCCTTACAAACTAGCATACACTGTTATAGTTACGACGTCTGTTTTGATTCTTGACCTACATCATAGGTTATTAGCTTTTTTGGTCCACTGATCCCCGTGGTCAATATTTGCATGTATTCTAGGCCTACTCCCTCGTAAACATAGTTTCCATTTTTTAATATACATTAAATGTAAGTGGGAGACATATATGCCTACTTTCCCCGCCTCTGCTTGTTCCGTTTTAACTGCATTACTGTTGGTATTCTGAATCGATATCATGCTACTGATAGCATAGAAACAACAAACAACATAAATGTATCTCCTAGGCCTATACAACTACATTTTATTCATCATTGTGGACAATTATGGCAGACTAAATGCCGAGACTTTTAATGTCAAATCAGATTAATTCTTGTACGTGGATCGGTAGAGGCAAGTGGATTACAAAACTGCACTCTATAATGTAATAATACTTCGAGCACTTGTTGCTCGTTTAGCCCAGTCTAAGTTTTCAAGTTACCCTCATAAACACGTTCAATGTTATGTTTAGCTTCGTTGTAGATACAGTAGGCTGGATCTAGCAACTTCGTGTATTATACAATATAGGTAATGGTTTAAAAACCCATTTTTGATTGAACAGTAATGTTAATTTGTTATTTTGAGCCCATACAAGGAACAAAACAGGCGACCTCCCGCGCACAGGGAGAATCACACCCTCTCCTTGACAACGGGATATTTCTCACGGAAGTCAACAACAAAAGGTTGCCTTCGAATTCCTAACATCGTTTAATTTAGATATATAAATGCATGTGCCCGATTCCATACCAAGCTATAAATTAACTAGTAACTTACCTTAATAAATATAGGCCTAAATTGAATGTGGAGTTGTGTGTGTGGGAATCCGGTGTGTGGTTATACTGTATGTCCTTATCGTTGCCGAATTTCCCGTTCTATCTTTTAAATCGATCTGTGTAGAGAAACACTCGAGGTATATCTATTGTCCGAGTGTAAAACACTTGGATGGGGTGTTTACTTGCATGCAAACAATACTTCTAGTAGCATCTTGGTTTGTTTGGAAGGTCGAGGAAGAACAATGCGACAGTTCAGAGGGTACTGTTCACAATTGCTTCGTCATTTAGCTGTCCTTATGATTCTACTACCACCACTGCTAATCGATGAAAACCTTCACAATACAGTAGTTGAACTTTTAGAGGACCTGTTGCGGGTTCGTGTCACGGTTACTATAGCAACAATATCACTAAAAATACTGTCTCAATTTACTACTCCTGGGTCGAGAGAAGCAATGCAAATAAAGTGCCTTGCTCAAGGACACAAGCGAAATGCACAGATGTGCAATATAGTTTTATATCATAATTTCTTTCATAATTTCTATAACGGCCTCGTAACACAAGAGATTAGATACTTATAAATCCATCACGTAATTACTATTAAGAAGTACAGAATAACAAAGTTATAGTATAAAAGAAAAAAAGTTTAATTGAACTTCAACAACAAATCATAAACAAAATACAGTACATACTAAAAACGTCCATAGCATCCTACGAACCATTGCATTTTTAAAAACCAAAATATGACATACTGTACAATGAAAATAATTCTACATCTTAGTGTGATCTGAAAACCTTTGTAAATTTACTGTTCCTCCTAATCGACCTAATAACTGACCATTCTGCTAAGCCTATTTAATATTTTAGAGTTATCTTCAAAAATTATTATGTATTTTATTGTGTAAGTAATGCAGTTCCCTCCACCAAGGAGGTTATGTATTCACCTCTGTTTGTCTGTATATCTGTTAGCAACATTACGCAAAAACTGAGGAATGCAACATCATAAAATTTAGTGGAATGGTACATACTTTTGGGAAGAAAAGGTAAAAAAAAAACAAGCTAAAGGAAATTCGATTTTTTACCTGGAGCATAAAAGAATATAATGTATTGCTGATCAAACATTGCCTGTGCATTGTTTGGTATTCAGGCACAGGGCGGATAATAATGGAATCACCCATCATACATGGCCTGTGTATTGTTTGGTATTCAGGCATAGGGTGGAAAATAATGGAACTGCCCATCATACTCAGCCTGTGTATTATTCAGTACAGTATTCAGGCACAGGGTGGGAAATAAAAAATTGCCCACCATACACGGCCTGTGTATTGTTCGGTATTCAGGCACAGGGCTAAGGTATACACTCTATGGAGTGATTGCACTGCTCTAGTTCCTAATACTTTCCATATGATACTTAATAAATTAATAATTTAATTCTCCAGAGATCCGTCATTTTCTTGTCACCTGTGAGCTGCCATTGCCGGGTATCTATTGCGTATTTCAGATCCTACGGGAGCAGTATATTTCCTTTGGGAATAATTACCAGAATACTCATCAGTCTCCTTGATAAAGGAATCGTCAGTGCTTGAAAGGGATTAAAATTAAATGCATTAAGTGTAATATACTATAAAGTTATACTATATTATCATTAATGTATAATTAATACAGTACATTATAATATTATTAATAACTCTTGACAAAAACTTGTAATACAACAGATATGTCGGCAAAGTCTTGTGTATTTTGACATACTTAACCTACCAATATCCTACAAGATAATCCTTCAGATTTTTGTCTGTTATATGTAACAAACAGTATCTGACCAGATGTTTTACAAATAAACTGATTTAAAAAGTTCAAGAAATCATATGATTGAATTTACATGTGAAATTTTCGATAATTCTTTTTGAAATACTTACAAGAAATGAATAATTGCTACTGTGTAATAAAGCACCAAACCAGTTCCAAGCACAACAAATAAAATAATATACACAGTGCTGCTATAAACAGACTCCTGCCAGGAAAAGAAGACAACATAGAATTAATGTTTTTCTTAAATTAAAATAAAGTAGTAATGAACAACAGGGGCGGATTCAAGATTTTAATGAGGGGAGTTTAGAAAGTTCCCAAAAAACCCAAAAGAGAAAATTTTGATTCCTAAATGGCCGGAAATGAGCTTCCCAACTTCTGAGGTGTCTTTTAATGACCTTTTAAGTTCTTCGAAATTCAAGGTTTTCCCTCTCTTGAAAAAGGTCAGGTAATTTTATCTCATTCTTAGGCTGATATATAGAGAAAAAAATAAAAAAAGACATATGCAATATATTATTATATTCCAACAATATTGAGTAGTTGGATACATAGTCTTTCCTCCATGGATCGATAGGCCTGAAGAACACACTTTCATACATAAATTATTATGACATTAAACCAAAAACAGTGTTTGTTAAATTTATTTAATTGAAGGCTAGTTGGGCTAAGGCTAGTTTGTCTGATCTGCCAACCTATGCCTAGGTAGGTTAGCATGCTTTTTGTAAGCCAGAACCCATTGAACCACCCCCTGGATCCACCATTGTACATACAAAAACAGTAACAACAAAATAATGAAATGTTAATGAGTTAGCACAGCGGTATTGAAATACCCACAACAAAAAATATGGTGGGTAAATAGCGATGGAAGTGCCATGGGTATAGCCAGCGGAAAAGTGGTCTATACCTGCATAATAACAGATGTGCAAGAAAAGGAAACCAGTACACTATCGGGGAAGATTCTGACCAGGATATGCGTTGCTCTGGGGCTACCACAGGGCCTCGCCAACCTAACCTGAAAATTTGTGCTGAATTTAACAAAGGATTATACAAAATACTAAATATACATTTATTTACCTACAACATTCCTAGAATTACCAAAAAAACCCCCTTCATTATGGCAGTGGTTATGTTTAATTGAGTTACAGAAATTACCTTATCTAAGCCAGATTCGTAGAATTTGTCACAAGTCAAGGCAGAACAAGTGCTATCTATAAGCTCAGCTGGAGATAGGAAGGAAAAAAGTATCATTAATTAATGTCTTTTTTTAAAGTGTATTATGTTTTGTTAATTTTTAAAGAACCACTTAACAGTAATTAAATAAACAAACTTCAGCTCACCAATAAAATCTATCTTTTTGTCTTCTTCTAGGTGGTCAGGAACACAGCTCCTCACATGTTTCTGAAATAATAAAAAATTAATAAGATATATAACCAAAATGGGGATGGATAAATGGTGGGGAAGGGGTTACATAATTAGAGTAAATGATTAACTTGAAAGCCTAAGAATGAATGGGAGCGATAAGAATTAGGGAAGGCCTACCTCACAAGAATCTCTGAGCTGTTTCAATTGTGCTTCATTGCACAAGGCTTCATCCCAGTAACCTGTCCTTTTGTCACCTGATAAAATGTCACAACGAAGGATGTCACAGTAATCGGCTAAACACGCTTCCTTACCATCCTGTGTAACAAACAACATTTTATCATTTAAAATAAATGTTAACATGATAAAATGGGATACAGTAAGGAAACCTAGCACTTCGATAAAAGTTCAGATTTTTATTATCACAAGCTTTCATGTACACACAATACAGATGGATACTGTTCTGAAAATGGCAAACCTACATAAAAGTATGAAGAAACCCATGCATTGAAAATATATATTATATCAGGAAAAAGCCACTTCCGGGAGATATGTTTAAATGAACTTTCTTAAACACATCTAATTTTATTTTGCTGTGGATGGTGATTGTGCAGATGATACACCAAAACTTAGCTCAAATTTGCATGGAAAATCGCTAGGAAAATAAGTGTGCAGAATCGTAACTACAGCATCTTAATACATTGGTTACATATAAGAGATAGGTCAAGGACTAATTTTTTGAAAATCTGAGCGAAAATCAACCCTTAAAATTAAAGTTTCCTAAATGCGCAAACAGATTTAGAGGCATAATTTATGCGCTGAGGATATATTCCTCATGCAGGCCTTACTTTACTGTCTGGGGTGCACTACCTTTAAAATATGCTGCTGATGTCTGTTTGTCATGTGTAAGTCAATATGGTACTCAGATACAAATATCTTCCCACAAAAATTGCAGACCGCACGTCCTAGTTCATCCACTTCCTTATTCTGTTCTTGGTTCAGATAAATATCTTTTGCTGGATTCCATGCACAATTATCAGGAATTACATAGGCATGATTCTGAAACTTTGGGAAGAAATTCTGGAATGAAATGAGAAGATCAATTAATATGTCTTAGTTCCAATGACTGTCTTGAATTACAATTGAAATGTAAATTGAAAAATTACTTATAAAAATAACTACATATTGTGACATGAACCAAAGTAAAGTTACTTGACCTGTATTACAGTCCGTTAATGCTTAGTACTATTTAGTATTGCAACCAAAATAAAAAGGCTAAAATAAGGCCTGTCTTACGGCAAGGCATTATACTATAAATAACATAATATTACTAATGTTTAGCACTACTACTCTGCTGGGACTACAAGTACAATACTACATAAACTCATACTTTTTCAAGATTCTTCCTTGCTATTCGGGATTGATGTCTTGAGCAGTCATTCGCAACTACGACGTCATATGTTACCAGACTCTGAAACTGTATAAAAACATATTGGTACTACGATAAGTTACTCTCAACTAAGCCATGGCTAGGCTAGGCCAGTCAGTGCTCAAACTCAAACTTATTGGGACAGCGCGGATGAACTCTCCTTCTTGGCTATTTGTGGATCTCACACTCACAATGCACCAGGCCTCGGCCTAGCAACACATTGATTTCAAATAGTTAATTGAGAAAAGAATGAGGGTACATTTTGTGGACGTATATGCTATATATATACTGTATTTGATAGTACTCACCAAAAGAAAAATAGCACATTTCATGATGTCCTGGGAAGACATCCCTGATTTTAGACTAAAAATGTCAAGAACACATTTTTTCGTGTTTACATTTTTCAAGCGGTAGAGGGCGACAAAGTCGAATATCGGAAGATCAGAGATATCAGAATACGATGATGCAAAGAGAATCGGCCGCCAAGGACTTTTTATACTGTATTGATTTTCATGTAACCGTCTCCATGGTCTGACACCGTAATTGACATGAAATAAGTACAAAGTACGTATATTAAAATTAACCACAATGATTAAAAACAACACACATTAAGCTTGATCTCTCAGAAACAAGTTCTATAAATAAGGCGTATTCAATTTATACATTCAATTGTCTGAGACGAGGGATAGGCCCCGGGATAGGATTGTTTTCCCACGGGCCGAAATTTCATGTAAGAATAAATTCCCACCCTTACCGAAATAATTCTAAAACTCTGTTTTAGTGGAATTCTCCGCCACTAATGTTAGCAAATCCCACTACTTCGAAAGAATTTACCTACTCCAAATCCCGGCATCATGGCCCTCGGGTCGAAGGGGGAGCCGGTCCGTATCCCCAGCATTAGGTGTGTGTGTGTGTGTGTGTGTTGGGGCTCCGATTATATTAAATCAATGTCATCCTCATATTTCTTGAAAAGTATATACTGTAGAACTATTTTTACAATTTTCATTATTTTGATGATCTGAAAAACGAATGTTTTCCCTCTCCCACCCACTGATGGGGGACTCTATGCACCCTTGTAGGAGGATAGTCCTTGATACTTTTCTCTCTCCTGGAAAAACATTTCAGCTAAGAAAAATGATTGATTTGGATGATTATTTATTATATTATTATTATTTTAAACAGCTTTTTTTTTTTAAAATTAAGTTGTGTATGTTAAAGAAGTAAAATCTAACTATATATTCATATAAAACTTTGTTGCAACGATTCAGATCCGTATTTCTGGTGTCCCCGTTTATACCATAGAGCTATTAAACAACTAGAGTGCTGACAAGATGGCGGAGCAATGCAGAGTTGTGTATGTGTACCATCCAAGATGGCTGCCGTAGGAAAGCGCCACCTTCAGGCTTAGTATACATATTATTACCATAAATAAGCCCTCTGACTGAATATTATTTCATTAATGATAATTATTATTGATATGACAAATTATTAAACTGTCGTAGCCAAAAAGAGGCCAAGTAGAGCATCTTATTCAAATATTAAAAAGAATTAAAATCGTGTACATTACACCCATACACCGCAACGCTCGAGTTTCAAAATACGGGTAACTAGCTGTACTAAACTTTCTGTGTAAATTGAGGGCGCAATTGAAAATGATAGTGCTCAGGGGAAGTTTGATTGGCTGAATCTATGGCAGCCATCTTGGATGGTACACACACACAGCTCTGCGTATTTCGAACATCGAATACATTGCTGTTAGCGCTCTAGTATTCTTATTATATCTCTATGGTTTATACTTTTATCTATTTATTTATTTCGGTATAAAACAGACTCACATCAATCCCAGGCACGGCAAAACCGTGAGCTTACAAGAAAATACAAAAAAAAAAAAAACAAAAACAAAAACAAAAACAAAACCAGTTAAACAGTTAAGATCATTACCTTAAATTTATTAAGATAATTACTCAGAAATTGATAATATTAATTCATTATTTAAATATATTTACAAATTTGAATTTACAAATTCAATATATATTGCTCTTAAATATCCAATTAGAAACTATAATATGATACATTATTCAAATATTTACAAATTAGAATTAACAATTATAATGTATTGTACTTAAATATCACAAATTAGAGACTACTGAATAATACAAATAATTTATTATTATTGAAATTATTAAATAGGATTAAATTAGAAAGTATTATTGGGAACAAATTATTTAAAGCACGGCAAACTTCAAGCCTTGGGATTGAAAATAGTTTCCTGTTTATTATATTAACATCTGAGTGCGGTGTCGGCACCCGATTATTGATTGAATTCAGTGTATCTAATCAGAGTAATCATTTGAAAACAGATGGGCTGATGAGTTCGATAATGAATAAATCAATAAAAACCGTAGTACTTACACCGGCGTCTTGGAGTGTTGTCGTGGAAGGAATTATGGGGGCTAATGTAAAGCGTGAGGGGAGGGGCGTCAAAATAAGGTGATATTCTTTGAGAGGTGATTTGAGCGTTTTTTTTTTGTTTTTTTTTTTTGTCTTTTTTTTGTTTCAGGCTTTTTTAGGGAGGCGTGCGGTTACAAATCCCCCACCCCTGTAGATGCGGCACTGTGACTCATGAATATTCATGAATATTCATTTGTACCTCGGTTGAGGCTGTGCGAAAAAAACCCTAGGAGTTTCCTGATAGCGAAATTTCCTTTAGCGCCCTCTACCGATTTGATTTGGAGACATTCTTATCTTACAGAATTCTGAAGTATGGCGGAAGACGGATTTAAGTTACGGAATATTGTAAGTGGTTGTTTTGACCATTTGCTGAATAGTTTTGACAAAGTTTAGTTTTGAATCGTATACATATACAAAACTGTAATAATGAGGTAGCAAAATTGTTATTGTTTTGATTCCTGGTTTTTATCAAATTGGTATAATACCCCATTGTTTAAGTTCACATTCTTAAAGACCAGCAGAGCAGATAGTCAACAACCATGGCCGATGCATTTTGACCGCCTGGATGAGCTGGTTCGACTCGGTGAAGATATTTCATTGAAAATGTCACGGGTTTACAGTAGAATTTGTTTCAGTCACTTTAATGACAATCATGTTTGTATATCCAAAAAGCGATTGGAGCATACAGCCAGTGCTTAGCTATGATAGAGTACAACGTAGACCTTCATAAACAATTGTGTACTGCCGCAGAGCAGGGCGACTTGGTAACAGTACAAACATTATTACAGCAAAATGACATCGATATTGATTGTGTCCAAGAAGAAGCTGTGTTTACTCCTCTTCAGTTAGCTGCAGCTAATGGTCATGAGGATGTCGTCCGCCTTCTGATTATGCGCGGTGCCGCTCTTGACCGACAGAATTTTTATGGTTGGACAGCCCTCATGCAAGCAGCAAGTTATGGGCATGATAAAGTTGTTGCGCTGTTATTGAAAAATAAAGCAGATTTTAAGGCGAAAAACAAACTTGGGGCATCGGCGTTAACTGTCGCAGCGCGTCATGGACACACTGCCGTTGTTAAGCGATTACTTGACTGCCCCGCTATTGATATCAATGATGGTACTAGGGGGATTAATGAAAGTTTCTACTCAAAGGGTATTGGTGCAACTCCGTTAATGGTAGCATCACAATTCGGCCATGATGCAGTAATGCGAGCGCTCTTAGATCGTGGATCAAACCCTAAGCACAAAAATGAAACTACAGGTTGGAATGCACTAATGTTTGCGGCATTGAATGGTCACATGACTTCGGCCCAGATTCTTGTAGATCGTGGTTGCGACCCAAACGAAACCAATTACATTGACAAGACAGCGTATGAAATTGCAGTGTGTGCTGGTAAACGAGAAGCAGCAGGCTATCTAGATAGAAAAACAACAAGAAGACCAAAGATAGGTAAGAGAAGAGAAAACATCTAAATATGTATGTATTCAGTTCATAGAATTTAATTTACAGTACTCGGCATTGAAAATACTGTAACTTTTGTGGTTAATGCAATCTGCAACTGTGATGAAACAAAGTTTTTCCTAACTTATAGCATTACTGTTGCATAGTTTTCTTTATGAAAGATCCTGTTATAGTTGTTTATGCTTAAAATTATGGCATATCATATTGATCTCTTTTATTTGTGGTGCATCCGGAACTAGTGCTATTCAACTACACATGAAAAACAGTGTGAAAGTTCAGTCATTTTCATTGGATTTGAATTTCTAATAAAGCCCTAGTTATTAAGGCATCTGCATAGACAACAGAAGGTCCTGGGTTTTTCACACATGCAGGTTCCCCCAGCGTTAAGTATATAATTATAGCATTACCAAAAGACGGTAGAATACGTTATTCCAAAATATTACCGCCTTCTGATAATGCCAGGATTGAGTTTGGAAAAATCATAAAAATCGATTAACTTGATTAATTGATATTTAACTATAATAGTATCCAATCCACTTCAAAAGTGTGTGCCAATATTTATATTCAAACACAACTGAGTTAAAAAACATACCCAGATATTTAATTTCGTAAGATCAGAAATTAAAAAAATTACTATCCATTGTTTTCATTACCAATGTTAATTGTAAGCATTTTCTTAAGCCTGTTAACGCATGGTTTATTGAAGTCTCATATATTAAAGTAATTACAGTTTAATATTAATTGCCTTCTGGTGTTTCCAAAGCTGTGTTCAAAATTGTAACTGTTCAAAATAATAACATCTGTTGCCAGGTTGTATGCTTCATTAAACATTTATTAGGATTAGAAGTTTAGTACCACCATTTTATGTAGTATTGCCAGTAGATTAAAGTAGGCAATATCTTTACAGTAAATTGTTGATTATAATAATGAATTTGATTTTTTTTTTTCTAACTTATCAACTTAAATGAGAAACAATGAAATACTTTTATAAATTACTTGGAAGAATTTTATCTAGTCCTTAGTTGAGTACTAAATAAATAAATAATTAATTAATTATTAAATTAAGTAATTATTTTATTTTATAAATTGTTGATTACAAAGAACAGGCTTTAATGTAGCGTATGTTAGGCTTTATTTCATGTCATTATTTTTTATATATATTTTTTTTACAATAAATTACATATGTTTGTTAATTTGAAAAATATTTTTCTTGTTTAAATTCTTAATATAGTTAACTGTTAGTATATTATATTAAAAATTTTATTTTATTAGTATTTTACAAATTACAAGTTCACAGCCAGTGAATCACCTTGTTGATTTGGTTACGATGACAAAAGAATACATTTTTTGTTATTGTCAGTTAATTTTACCTGTGTAAATGAATAGCCTTGAATGTGAGATTTAAAACGCAGTCTTTGCTGGTAAAGTACTTAACATTTGGCTGTATGAAAAAAGGCTGTTTCTTTCCATATTAAAGAACAATTGAAAATTTCTTGTATAAATCATGGAAATCCTTTCATATTGTTAAATTTGTTCAGGAACAAAAGGGATGAATCAGCCAGAAAGAAATCTCATTCTAATCTAAGGTTGTTATTGTGTACAGTATGGTTTGTTAAACTAACAGCCTTTATAAGTCAGTCGTGACGTCATCACTGCAACTCTCAATGTTATTTGCCTATTCCCCACCGTCAAATAATTTTTCAATTAGTGGACGCTTAGCTTGATTTTTTTTAAGGTTCGTGTACAAAAAAATTCCTCATTTTTTTGTCACCGCGGAGACATCGCGCACCACGATAAAAATTGAATTGTACAGTAATTGAAAATTACTTTTAAAACAAGCTTAATGAGGACCCGAAGAAAGTTACTTCAAATTCAATATTAAGTACAGTATGAAAAAATAAAGAATTCATTTAATCAGTGGACCCTCATAATCAAAACAGAATGTTTAATAGGAATATTCTAGACCTATTTTAAAGACTCCAAGAACGGATTTGGATGTAGGACTACTTCCAGGCAGGAGGCCGCCGAGGCCTCCTCCTACTAAGCCGTAGCCTAGTTATGAAATCTTTGCACGATTTTTACCTGTCTGCATGCACCGACCAAAAAGGTCAGTGATTGTATTCTCTCTTGAATCCTGAAATGTTTATTTCTTTGATGAATGTCTATCAAAATAACAGTACAAACAAGTTCTTTCTAAAACAATTACAATAGTTATTAATCGTATTCTGTTATGTACTGCTGATGTGTAGTTAACGCGTGCGTACTCAGGAGCACAGATCAGCATACGCACAGCTAAATGTAAATACGCACACAGTATACTGATCATATCACTATAGCAACCGATGACTGCTACACTAGTTGGTTATCAAAAACTAAAATTAAAAGAAAGTGATTGACTTATAAAGCAATTAGTAAAGCATGCATCGTACACTAAAGGAAAATTATTATACTTAGGTTAGATTTAATGCATTAAAAAAATTTTTCAAGCATTAAATCTAACCTTAAACTGAAAGGTCCACTGATTAATCTCAGATAAGAAAGTATAATACATACTCCAAGTATTGAAATACACGCCATCGTGTTGGGATTCAATATTTCAACATTAATTATGTCATCATCAGGAATTATGATGATGACATAATTAATGTCGAAATATTGAATCCCAACACGATGACGTGTATTTCAATACTTGGAGTATGTATTATACTTTCAAATCTAACCTTCCTATAATAATTTTCCTATATTGTACTATGCGGAGCTTTACTAATTGCTTATAGCTGGTCCTAAAGCCTATTCAGACCATCAAATTACAGTATTAGTCAAAAACATGTGACATGCCTAAATATGGTCATGATGACATCACATCATGCCCATATATAGGCACATCATGACTATATATGGTCATACAAAATATTTTTGTCAAAGAAAATTTGATAATCTGGACAGAGCTGAAATAAAAATGATTGAATATGCTAATCATCATTTTTTGAATTACAGTTTAAATTTTTGTTATGAACTTTAAGCTTCCATGAAAAAAAGAATGAAATAAAATATACAAGTAATTGGCTCTTTTGGCCTTACTCTCATGTTGAATCTGAATCTGGATAAATAATTAACATCTCAACGAGATTTGATTGACAGATAAACCCACTAATCAGCGAGCGTCATTTAGTTGCGTGATCAAAAACTTTTTCTCGGACATTTTAACTTCCTTAGACATATGTGAGCCTAGGCCTAGATGTCTATGCTTGGTTATAGATGTCCAGATTTACACGAGCAGTGCGCATCAGTGACTTGGCCTTATTGCCGACAACAAGGTTGACTGAATGCGGCTTTTCCCTCTTCATTTAGGAGCGAAATACAGAGGCTTTTACAACAAATTCCCCACCATGTTCCATGAAATAGATTAACTCAATGAATATATGATTTATTTGCATACCGCCTACCCTGAATTCTCTTTCTTAAAGAAGCTTAATAGCAATGAAAATCTTCGCCAACTCGGTAAGTCTAGCTGCCATTGTCTATGGTTTTCGTGACTTTGTGGGCGGGGCTTCGCGTCCCTGTCGACATGTCAATTGGTAGAACTCTTGCAGCATCACATAGATTGACATACTCTACACTGTCATTCTTAACATTGAATTTTACTTTACAACTATAGTCTTACTCCTGAGGACTTAATTTTACCACCTTCAAACATAGAGCAAAGAAACTGTTTCTTTGCTCATCATTTTGGTTGGTCCACTTTTGCTATCCAGCTATTAGGATTACAACCAACCCACTGTTCTATTTTTTAAATGTTTTCTTTTCAAGGCTAATGCAAGGCAAGTATATTAAATATTTAACAAATGATTGAATACTAAATGTTGGCACACTATATATATCATGTTGTATGTGGCAAATGCTTGTGTTTGCCCATATATAGGTTTAATATAACATCATCATGCCCATATTTGGGAAAATTAGAGATGTTTGTCACAGAAACATTATATTTTAGACAGAGCAGCTTTTTTGATGAACTTTTGTTAGTATCAGTTTTTATATATATTTTTTTCAATCTTGTTTTCTTGACGTTAGTGCCAACAACATCAAAACCAAAGATCATAGAAGCTGCAGAGACTGGTGACTTAAAACTGATGGAGAAGATCTTAGACGATGACCCTGCCCAAGTTGACACAGTTTCACCAGAGGGGGCAACATCACTCATGATAGCGGCTATGCTCGGTAGGATTGATATAGCGGACATGCTTCTAAAGCGTGGTGCGGATATCAATAAGCAGGACTCCAAGAATGGATGGACTGCCCTCATGCAAGCCACTTTTTACAGGTACAGTAAAAGATTCATTTCAAAACCTCTTCCCTTTCCTAAATCATAGTAAAGTTTGGGTTTGTTGTTATGCCTAAAATTTGCTTTGATATATTAAATTGTCCCAAATTTTTGCAGGATTATACTGCGTACATTTGCATAATTAAAACTGTGAATTAGTTTTATATTGGACCCTATTACTGTAACCATGTTACCATACACTAAAGTCACATGTAAACTCTTATTATTAAAGATGTACTCCCTGCCTGCCAAATAAAATCGTGAAATGATTATTTAAGTAAACCAGAAGTCTTTCTCGCATGCATTGTTTCTTCAGTTATTTATTATTCTTTCTTTCTACATGTAGGCACACAACATTTGTCAAGTTCCTCCTGAGTGGAAATGCTGATGCAAGTCTTAAGGCTTTGGATGGATGTACAGCTCTTGATCTTGTGTTCTGTCTAGGTAAGACGACTCTATTGATTACTATATTACTTAACTATATAGAGATATTTTACCAGATAGTACTTAAGTAGTAATATGCCATAGTACATCATATGTCATGGCCCCTATGTGCTTAATATAAATACTCCAGTCACTGGATAAAATATGCCTACCAATCAGAGTCTACCATAACGTTGCAAAAATGTAAGAGGTTTGTTAAATTCTGTTTGGTTTCTTCTAGCTGATTCAGACCCGGATTTGACCAGAATGTTAGCATCTGCAGCAATGCCAGTTCAAGGTTCCAGTACGTCACGACCTCCTAAAAACAGCACTGGCTCTGGAACGTGGTTAACAAAATCAGGCAAACCTTTGCCGGATGAAAAGCCCAAAGGAGGCCTTAAGGTTTGTGGTTAGGAAAATTGATTTAAAAATAAAATCTCATTGTTTGATATTATGTTGGTATTTTTTTTAGAAAGATATTACCAAATATATTATTAAAATGTTATTAATCTCTTGTTTATAATTACCTGTATATCTATTTCAATGTCTAACTTACTTGTTATTGATTATTATCTAGGCATGGTGGAATCGGTTATCAAATCGTTTCCAAAATCTGAAGTTGTCGAGGACCCTTATGTCTGGCATGACAACCACTAAACTTACTCCATTTCATGATGAAAATGGTCCAACTGACACTGCCGATTCTATAGATAAGGAGAAGGTGTATGGAGGCATGCAGAGGGATGGAAAAAAGAAAAGGAAAACAAGTGAACAAAAAGATGATCTACTTCTGAAATCCATTCTAAGTAAGTTGCTATTTCATGTACTAATATTTTTCTTCAAAGCTTTCAGATCTTGTATACCGCCTTTAAAATCATTTGGTTGTGTTGCTCGGCTCTTAAAACCATGTCCCATCTGGATATGTTTCCTTTTTCCATATTCATTTTTGATTTTGGTGTTAATTATATTATTATTTTCCGTATTCATTTCTGATTTTGCTGTTAATTTTTTTTTTCCAGGTAATGATAGTGGTCTAAGTAGTACAAACCAATCCATGCAGTCATTGGTATGTTCTTAGCAAACACAAAACATTATTGAAATTGCGAATGTTGTGACTGTTTTTGTTATGTTACATCAGAAAATAACATTAACTCGCGTTTCTGCAATGTGTTGGAAATTATATGATAAAAATATGTAATTTATTGTTCTACAAGTAAATTTTTTGAGTAGCAAACTGTAATGCTGTAACATAATGCGATTTTAAGTATTAGCTGGGTTATTATTATTATTCTGTTTTAGGCCTGCTGAATCTTTTATATACTTTACATTTATTTACTTATAACAATTATAAATATTACAAGGTGTTTTCCTCGAAGTTAATTGTAATTTTTATGGTGATTTCTGCACCACTGTTTAACGATGTATTATATTGTTGTCTACACAACTGCTGATAAAACATTCTATTTTTTTTTCTCTCTTTTCTGTATTAGTCCATCTTATCTCCAATGAGTACATTCCAAAATGATAAGCTTCTACCAGTTGTTCCTCCGTTTCACCCACCACCGACATTTGATCCAAATGACCGATCAAAACGACCAATGAACGCCTCAAGAACCTCATTGTCAATGCTGGCAAATGGCAAGGTATATCAATAAACACAAGAACAACAACAAAAAAATGATAACGATAAGTAAAATGATAATGATAATGATATTTTATTATTTTGTATTATTATTTTATTATTTTTATTAATTATTAATGATTATTATATAGGCAATTATAATGACATTAATAATTACTATGATAATGATGATGATAATAAATGATGGTGATAATAATGATAATGTAATTAAAACATATTCGATTGGTTTGTGTTTACAACTGTTATTCACTTGAAATTTAAGTCTGGTGCTATGATAATGATGATAATAAATGACGACGATAATAATGATAATAATTTAATTACAAGATATTCGATTGGTCAGTGTTTCCAGTGTTCACTAGAAATTTAAATCTTGGTCCTTGATGGTCATACAAATACTAGTAAACAAAAATATAAAAAACAATAACAATATATAATCAATATAATATAGCATAAGAACTGTATCTATAGGCAGGCACATGGTGCATTGGCTAATGGTCATTGGCGTGATAACAATGTAATGAGGCGTGCACGACAGATCGTTTATAACGACATTCTGATTAGAATGCCTTCAACAATAACAGCGGTTAATGAAAATTATTCAATTATTGATTTGTCTTTCTAATCAACATTTTAATAGTAAAAAGCATAATTGTTTGGGTGTCAATATGGTTATTCATTTAATACAAATATATTATTTAATTATAATGGGGATAGGCGATTGTCCACAGGGAATCTATTTTGAAGGGGAGTTGAATGGCTTAGTGGTTAAGATGCTTGCCTACTAATCCCAGGGTACTAGGTTCAATACCTGCGACAGTAGGACTTTTTCTCACGAGTAAAGTAACTCTAATTCCCAAGTCTCTTTAGGAGACTTGGCTTATAAACATTGCGTATCCTGTTATTGGTGAGTTGGATGTGAATTAAATAAAAAAAATACAGAAGTAATAAACAAGTACACTATTTATTATACACCATATTACCATATATGAAAGTATAATAAATACTCTAAGTATTGAAATGCACTATTTATTATACACCATATTACCATATATAAAAGTATAATACATACTGCACGTATTGAAATGCCTGCCATCTTATTAGGATTCAATATTTCGACATTAATTATGTCATCATCAGGAATATTACCAAATACTGTACTAAGCTTTTTTTGATTGCTTAAAGTGTGGGTGTGCGTGTGGGTAGACACATAGAGTGGTATGAATATATACAGTATTTGCATTTTCTTGATAAATGTTTTGGGAGTGATTATACCATAGAGAAAATGTTCTACTTTCTCTATGATAATACAGTGCACGTATGAAAAACTTATTTGATAAAAAAGAATACAAATACAGATAAACTTTATTATCTTATGTAAATACAAAACAGTGGTAGTAAAACAATAGCATGCACTGATAAGAAAATGGAAGGTTGTCATTACAAACATTGATAATAGACCTACATTTCTTGTCTTATTATTCACCCTTTATTGAAAACCACTCTGCTGCATTGTACATTGATTTGAATTAAGATTAAGAGTGCATTTTACAATTATTGGAGACAATCATGTAACATGTGAGTGGGTGTATTGTTATACACCATTTTATCGGGTCTATTTTGAAACAGCGCCACCAACGTCACTGGGGGACTTTTCACTGGGGGGCTTCCAGCAGCCTTGATTGAGCATCTGGCTGTTACAAATAGAGCACCACACAGCGGATAGAATCGTTTTTTAATTAGTCCATGATTGTAACTACGTAGAGCGAAATGTGTATTGTGCATGTAAACTAGTTTATCATTTCCAGTGGCTTTGGCAATCTCTAATCATGTGTGTGTAGAGATACAAATTAAAAAGTGTTTTACTCACAGATAAATTAATGTGAATAACATATGAAAAATCCATCTCTGCTCTCGGTGAGCTCCTGATGGTGCGAGGCTGTCTGCCCATCGTCAGTGGCAGTGTTTTTATGATCATTGTGTGTGTTTACAGTTTAGTAAATGCTTAAACTGTTGAAGAAAATACAATAATAATACTGTTCGTAAAAATTTCTATTTTTGTAATTGAATTGTTCTGTACTTGTGCTTTTAAATTGTCTTTAATTCAAGAATTTTGTTCTCTTTTTATTTAGAATACCGGCCCAAGACAGCCTCACATGAAATCAAAGGGGCTGTTCATCAGACCTCACAACAAAAGCATTAGCCCGTCCAACTCAAACAATTTTAGCGTGACCACAAGCCCAAATTCCTCCGGTGGGGCCAGCAGTATCAGTAAGGTCAACAAACCCTATCGACTATCTGCCCATGATAACAAAGTGACAGGCGAATCAACGCCAAAGCATGGTAAGTATATACAAGTGTTTTTCCTCAAAATAATGAAGAGGTAGCGTACCTGAGAGTGCTTTTCACTTTGCTTAATGTACTCGGACATCTTCCCTCACCCTAGAAGTTCTTATACCCCATTGCTCTTACTGTATCCCCATTTCTGTAATCTGGAATGCTACTATCATGAATTTGTCAGCCACTGTAATTCATGCTACATATTAGTTGTTCCACCAATACGCATCAGCATCCTCTTTTTACGTCTCGCACCTACATTGTATTATCTCGCACATAACAATTTTATAAAAATGTATTGGTCGATTATACCATAAAATAAAAAAAAATTGATTCGTCATTAAAATGTGAATACATGCCATATAAGCTTCTTTTAATGGAACTATACTGACGATGTTAAGGCTGTGGTTAGCGGTGCCCCTGCCTTATCGCTCGGTCGCTTGACTTGCTCAAATTGTCAAAAGAAACTCACTAAACTTACTTATCATATCTCATGCTTCTATTTGCAGAATGCACAAACTCACTAACTAGCCTTTGAAAAGTTTGTGTTTCCTGATTCCTAACCAAATTCTTTTAATCCAATTACTGTATATGTCCTAGTACTCTAGTCAAGTATTTGAATAATTTTATATCTTTTTGTCATCTCAGGTCACGAAAGTTCAGTGTTGAAAGCATATCCAGACATTGCCTTCTTGCCACAGTCTGCCTTCAAAATAAGTCCAAAATCACAAGTTAGTTTCAATGAGTAAGTACAGTGTTCACTTCATTTAGTTAAATAAATACTAAACTATTTTTACAAAGCCATTGTTTTATTTAAAAAAAATGCCTGCTTTTATCTGGAGTGTTTTTTGCCCCTTTTCCTTGCATCATGTACATGTGACCAGGCTAGCATCCCATTAAAGGGGTTAGAAGGCCCTCGAAATGGCAATGTGCGCCAAAGACACTGCAGGCTCGTAGCGTGACTTAATTTGTGGGAGGTTCGTTTCAGTGGAAAGTGGCTCCTTTGGCTTGTATGATCTCCGATACTCTGGAGAACATTGTAAATATATCTACCAATATCAATTTTTCGTTTTTAACACCTCCAGTTTTTGGGCGGTTCGTTGTAACCCCCTTAACCCCCCACCCCACGCTAGATGCCTGCACTGCCTGGCACCCACTGGAGAAAAAAAAAAACACAATTTTTTTTAAAAGGAAAAAAGAAAATTGCATTCAAATATAGGTATGCTAATGTTATTGTCGGTGATCTACAAGGGCCATGGACAAAATTTTGTACCTCATCTCCAACTGTAGTGGGCCTTCCCTATTTCAAATTCCTGAATCATCCACTAAGCATCTCCATTGCTCTGTAAAAAAGGATTTACTTGTAGCAGTAATAAAAAGTCTTTATATAATTTTTCAGGCCATCATCACCGGTTTCACCAACATCCCAGACTTCAGGGTTCAACAACAGCTCCGCATCATCTACAATATCAGGTTCTGTGACTCCGTCCAAACAACGACCTCTGAGTGGAACTTCTCTAGGTGGTAGCACCACACCTACGTTGACTCCTTCACCGTCCCCATCGCCTAAAGGGAGACCTGGATCAAATGGCAGCTCTACAAGTCAAGCTAGCTCAACACATCAGCCAAAAAATAGTTCAAGCAGTGGTGTCAGTGAAGATGGTAAGTGTTTTATATGTTTGACATATGTAGGGGTATTGAAATGGGGTTGTTTGGGTTGGAAGTGCCTGTGAGGGTGAAGTGAAAAGGGCTCGATAATTATGTAAAGGGGTTAAAATACGGTGATAGGTAATTTTTAACGCCTTGAGTGTAATATTTTTGCTTTTTTGCTGGAGTGGTGGTTACTGGTAAGCGAGCTTTTTCATGGAGTGTTCCCCCCACCAGTACCCCTGTACATATGCTACTGGTTTCAATAACAGCTAATAGTACCATCATTTATATTCTATTATATTGCAGATGAGTTGTCAGCTTTACTAAGAAAATTGTCCCTGGAAAAATATGCACCTATATTTGAAGAACAAGAGGTAGGTACTTGCAGTTACTGTATATTACGTTCACAGGCCTGTATTGTATCCTTCTTTTTGTTTTTGTGGTGGGTTATTTCCAACAAACGTTCATCTCCCTTTTTTTTAATTTGACCCAAGGGTTTCCCCCCTATACCTACAAAACAATACAAGGACTCTACGTTACTGCATCTTGGTATTCAATGTATACTGTATTTAAGCATGGGGGATATGTCCTTCTTGAAACCGAAAGGTCCACTGATTAATCTCAGATAAGAAAGTATAATACATACTCCAAGTATTGAAATACACGCCATCGTGTTGGGATTCAATATTTCGACATTAATTATGTCATCATCAGGAATAATCCATCTCCCATGTCATCATCTGATGATGACATAATTAATGTCGAAATATTGAATCCCAACACGATGGCGTGTATTTCAATACTTGGAGTATGTATTATACTTTCTTATGTCCTTCTTGATTTAAGCATGTTTTAATAATGTCAACAAAAAGCTTCGTCTGAAGGCACATACACGAAGCGTTAAAAGCTGAATAGAGGTAAGCTCAGTTTAATGTGTACAACAGTGAGCGCTCGCTCTTGTTTCCCAAGGATTTTGAAGTAATTGTAGGTTTGTGATTAAAAAAAAAAAACAATTGTCAAGCTTGTATAAAAAGTAGAATGAATCTCAGTTATTAAATTTTATAAATATAATCTTCTTATAATTGTTTACAATTTTGTAAAATTTTTAAAGCAATAATACCATTCGTTGTTTTTTAATTTCTAGGTTGATATGGAAGCATTTTTAAGTCTGGATAAATCCGATTTGACGGAGCTTGGTATCAAGCAGTCGGAACCACAGAGCCGCATTCTCCTTGCAATAAATGAATTGAATTCGGGAAGACATCGAGATTTCAAAGCTTAGCCATATTCACTTAAAATATTTTTATCTTATATTTTGTAAATTGCCAACTGTACTGTGGTGTATTTAGTTGACATGGTTAGGAACAGTGGGAACATTAAGGGTGGGGGAATGGGAGATGGATAAATGAGGTAATAGGCAATTTTAAACTACTTCAGTATCAAAGTAACCACAAGCGTTTTCTGTGAGAGTTTGCGTCCCAGCGTTCCCCTGTACATACCACTGCAACTTTGATTTACTCTGGTATTTTCTTAAACCCCATTTCAATATTTTGCCAAAAACAGTTCAGTAATATGTACCTTATTCAGGCTGAAATCTTGGTTTGTTGAATACAATTTGCCTCAATTTTGACGAATCTAGGCTAACCTATTAAGAAACACCGGGCACAAACTGCATCATTTCGACCGTCCTACAATGTAGTGCATGCACGGCTTGAGACGCCATCTGACACTCATAACCATGGTACATTTGAAGTTGTTTAAAAAAAAATTAAGATGCAGGCATGACATACCCTACCACAACTCTCCAGGCTGAACTACTAATAAGTTTGTCCTATTGGATATTTAAATTAATAAATTTTTTATATAATTTTTTTCTTTAGTTTGTTTTACTTATATATTTTCTAATTTTTAAATACATATTTATATATACTATTTGTGCATGTGACCAAATCCAAGGTACTTAAGATATGTGATGGTCAAAAGAAACCATTACAAATTATTTTTGTTTATTAATAGTAGGAACAAATACCTTGTTTATACCTTGCTTGATTTACCTTGATAGAACTTGATAAAGGCTTTTTCTTTGATGTACCTTGATGGACATTTTGAGTATCTGAGAAACAGACTTTGGACTTTCCGCTAAGCCCCACCTCCTAGTTATTGTTGCTAAGGTCCCATGTAAACATACGCAACACATGCGTCCGTTCTGATTGGTCAGTTGTTATGTTGTTGTTTATTCTTATCCAGGAAAATGGTATGCTGAGGATTTTGCAAGATGTAGATGCTCAAGGGTGGGTTATTCTACTAAAAAATGTTAGAGGGACTTGTGAAACCTAAAAGTACTATTAACACTCTGACCGCCAGGGGTTTGAAAAAATAGTATCAGCCACCGCCAGATTTTTAGCAAATTTTAACACTTTTCCGAAGGTCGTTGAGAGTGCGTATTTGATCAGATTGATTATCATGTAATGAATACTACAAGAACTACAAACATTTTAGCTTTACAATGGTACCAAACACTTTATTCTAATCACAATCTGTGACCCGTAACAGTATAATGAAAATGACTCACTTTTGGAGATTTACGTGATTTCGCAGAATGAAGCTGAGATAATCGCGAATTTTCATGAAAATAAATCAATTCCGCTCTACGCTAATGTAAACAAACAAATAGTGAAATACTGACGGTCCACAGACTGAATATACTGTTCAAATTGTTAATACATGCCGGTAATAACCCATCTATCGGATTCTGTAAAAAAACCTGAAACCTGAGGGCAGAGTATTAAACACATTGTTAAATTATTAATGCATTAGAACTACGCGAGTAAATTATTCTACTATACAATACAACTCCCTTTATGTTAAGTTGTTGGCCTGTTTTAAGTTGAGCCTGTGATATATTGTCCACTGAAAATTAGGTAAATATTATTCTGTGTCAGGAGAATCAAGTATAGGTGTAAAAATGTACTTGAATACTCAGTGTGTGTGAAAGCACTTACAAAAAAAATTGCAATAACAGAAACTATTGAATTTTAAAAATGTGTACCCTGATATTTAATGGTAATATTCTTAGCTTCCCGCAGGCAAGTGGGTTGGCGAGAAATATACAAATTAAAAAACACTAAAATTTCTAAAGTTTCAAACAACTCAAATTCAACTGCTAGTTATATCGGTAATCATAAAATATTGAAATCATCGAAGATCCAATTAAAAAATTGATTATTGTCAGCTTGTGGGAGTGGTAAGTGCCAGGCATTTGCCACCAGCCAAGTTTGAAGTCATTTAGATAAGAGATTAAAATTACTAAAACTCCAAAGCTTGCTTTTAGGTGGCATAGCCCCCTGGAGCCCAGAATAGGTATAGTGAATGCCCCAAAACCTTCCTCTCTTGACCATAGATTCCACCCAGTTATGACCTTAGGTCCTTGGTTGCTGGCAAGAAAACGTAAGCTAAGAATAGATTTATAATATATAATATTCTCTGCTTACCTCATAGAGCAAGGTAGTGGTATATTTATATGTAATACAAATTATTTTTAGTGATGATGAAAACAAACAGTTAGACAAATTTTTAACTGTATTATAAACTAATTCCTATAATTATAATTATTTTAATTAAGTATTTTATCATTAGAATGTTGCAGAGGGATATTTAGATTTGTGCCAACAGATTCTATACTTCCAGAGTCATTTTAATCTTAGATATTTATACTATTCATATTAACATTTATTTTGTAGATGTATTTATATACTTATTAAAATATGTTATGTGTATTCAGACCATTTACTGTATTACTTTTCTTGATTGCATTAATTATATTTTAAATTCTGGATTCTCTCAAGACAATGTGCAAAATAAACAGTTGGTGACTGGAGTGACATGGAAATTTGTAAATAGACAGAGATATCGACTCTCATTATAGGAAAATTTTTTTGTGGGGGATGAAGCCGGACACACACTGCCCCCCGACGGTCATCGATTGATGCGCAGCCAACAGATAATTTTAATGATAATAATTTTAGACTGCTGACAGGCGATGGCGTCACGTTGACAAACGAAGTGGAGTTGGTTTTATTGTACGAGTGCCCTTCATAAGGCATTCAGTTTATTTCCTGGATAAACTGACTAATTGCCTATGTTCATGTAACTGAACACACCTTTGAAACAACATTCCACAAGTACCGTAGTAGGACTTTGTTTCAATACTTGGATTTCGGCATCTTTGAAAATAATATAATACCGAATACAGTACTTCCAAGATATAAATGCTCTGACAATGCAGGAAATGGTTTATCACCACCAGTTGAAAACCCCAAGCTGTTTTCCCTTGCCATTCAATGTTTGTGTTTTTAAACCATGAAATTTCCTTTTTCTTACATTTGAACACTTGAAAATAAGACAAATATTAGTCATGTATTAAGCTTCAAGAATAAATTTATTCAATCCATAATACAAAAGAAACGAACTGATTACAGTATCAATTAGTTTTTGTGACGTCTGTGCATGCTATTTCTCATAACATGTGGGAAAATCACAAGTATTTGTGACATGAAACGTTACAGAGCTCAAGTTAGCAACATCATTAGGATTATCCTTTACAAAGAGTATACAAAGAAAATAACATACCAAAGTTAATAAAATTTATTATACAAAAGAATGGGTTTTAAATATATTTTTAGTTGGACTACCACAAAAATTATTACAAATTATTAACTGCTAAACTTTTTCCTCTTGCTGTTAAAGCAATAGTAATACTAATTCCAAAAATATTTAAATATTAAAATTAAAATTATACAGTTAACTTTCAATTCAATGAGTATTTATATAGTGCTGGTATCCATGCTTATGGCACTAATACATTCCTTGCACAGTTAATTTGTTCATGTATTTCTCGTTAAAATTATGTATATAAATTTTTCTAATAAAGGTTGTAATTCAGTGTATTGCAAGAACTTGTTCATTATGAATACCTGGTTAAAATAATGTTTAATAAAGGATTGTTCTCTTTATAAAATATTCTAATAATGGCTGTATTAAATTTAAAGCAATTGCATAAGCTTGTGTGATTTATAATTATGCAAATGCACTCTTCGATGGAGAGTAGCAACCTACAGTAACCCCTCCACCCAAAAAAAAAAAAAATTAAATTAAAAAATAACAACTGTTTCAATTCTCCATCACAACAGACTTTTCTAGGCCCTCTTGATTTATAATTTTGTATCAATATATACACACAGAAGGCATTGCATGATTGTTAAGGCAAATTATCTAGGCCTAGCTCGCTCCTCTTTATGCCTTAGTGCTAAAAACTAGCGTCAGGAACTGTTCATACGAAATGTTGATCCAGCCATTTTGGTTGGTGTCGTACATACGGAAGGAACTGGTCAAGGTCTGAAACGAAAGAAGCAAATATGACAATTATTACTTACAGGTGACAATTCTTGGATCCTGTAAATGTTCCAATTAGTGCCTTGACGCTTATAAACATTTTGGAGGCTTCAGTGCGTATTCAAGAGTGGCACAAATTATTGTAGTACTAAATAAAATGGTAGCATGCATTTTGTACAAGCAGTCTAATTGAATGGGGAGGGGCAGGGTAAAGGCAGGAGAATAACCCTTAACTCGCATCATCATTGTGCTGAATTGCGTATGGGTGTGGTCCGTGAATACCTAGTGGCCGTAAAGAGGTCCTTATAGTAACTACATTTTCATATCCTTGCACAACGACAGGGGCTGAAATCCAGAGCATCGGGGTAACTACTACTCTTCCGAAAGATGCAATGGGTTCTTTAAAGTGCACACAAGCCAGATGTGTACACTGGACCTCCATTTTAAGTCCTTATCCGAGAAGACTTGGTTCTACCAACCGAACTATGGCTAGGAGCTGCTGGAATCAGCACCGATATTAAGGCTATAGTTAGCGGCGCCCATGCCTTATTGCTAGGCCACTTGACTCGCCCGTAATTTGAATACATCTCAAATAATAAAACACTTATTTGTATCATAGAGGTTGTTACATTACTCCGTTGTTTGCATATTGGTTAAAAGTACCTTTCAGATTCTGAGGTTGAGTTTACCGTAGCTTTCGCTGTCCTCTCTCTGTGGTGCTTAATTGAGAGAGCGCCACTTATGGGGAAAATAAAAATCGCATTCTGAGCAGCCCTTGAAAGAAATGCTTATTGGAACATTTACAGTAAATTATTCTCTTGATTTCATATCGATCTACATTGTATTTCCTAACATTAATGTACAAAACATGGAACTGAATAACCTCACATTAATGTTTTTCATGCTGTTTTAGTCTACACTTCTATATATTTGCAGGAATTTTATGACCAACAACTGAATATGCTAGCATGCTAAGTAATTTAAATATAACATCACTTTCTCCATCCACTAACATAAGAAGCTACATATGCGTAATTATAATGCATCCGTTGTATTAAAATTATTGCAGTTGGTATCTAATGTATCTAGCTTGTATAAGTTGCCAGTGTCATTAAAATAAAATTCTAAAGATGGGAAAAAGAAGAAAAAGAAGGAGGTGGGAGAGTAGGAGAAAATGATTATAGTTTTTAATATTCTTTATTAATACCTTCGCCTCTCCGAAGGAGAGGTGAAGAGTATACAATAACACATGTCTGTGTGTTTTTCTTTCAGGGTGCATAACTCAAAACTACTGGACCGCTTAACTTCAAATTTTCACACATTGACAATGTTAAATGCATCTCGATCCCCCTCAAATGTGTTAGGAAGAAGCAGATTTTAGCTAATTCGAGCACATTGTCTGGCTTCATTTGGCTGGGTCAAGCCAACTCGAGTTGATAGACCATGTGCCAGAGTAATGAGTTTGTCAAATTTTGGCTGGCGGATTGGAAGCAGTCTGGCTAGCGTGCAAACTCGTCAGATTGATGGGCTTGCCACACAAGGCCTATGATGCTAGGCCTCGTTAATTTTGGCTAGGCAGAGCCAACTCGAGTGGATAAACCGTGGGCCATTATTTTTTCAGTACATAGATATGGCACAACAGGGCAAGGGTTTGTAATCTCAGATTATCCTGTCAAGTCTGTAAACATTTAGCGACCCTGACCTCTGCCAACATGCTCCTTGTTAATTTATCTGAACAAACAAACAAACAAAAACTGCATGCGGAAAAACTATTAAGTAAATAGAATCAGTGTGTTAGGAAAGATTCTTTATACCTGTTTAGCAAAACTTATTGCATGTCAAAAACTTGATTTTGACAAACATAAAATCTTTACTTTTTCTTAAAGCATTTTATCAATCCAACTACTAAACTTCTTACAACAATCTCAACAAACCAAACGAAAGGATATTAAACAAGGGTCAAAGAGTACCTTCTTTAACTCACAATTTAAAAAAAATCAATATAATTAAATATTTAGTCTTTTGGCCTAGTTATGCAAAACCATTCTGCAAAATGGGAAAACTTTGTTAATCCATCTAAAACATAAATGCTGAACACAGGTATAAAAACACAGACACAAAAGAAAATTAAGTTAAGAAAATGATTGCAATGAGCAAGCAGGAAAAGAATGAAGTGATTGGATGTGTATACCATGAAGAAATCTCTGCTATGACTTGACACTAAAGACCATGGTGAGAAATTGCTCAAACCCGATGTATATCCAGCCATCTTGGTCGTGGTCATGGTAACGGAAAGCATTTGTTAAGCTCTAGCTCAATACAATAAAGAATAGAAAAAGTGCATAATACAAATAATGGGAAATTTCACACATAATACATAGGAAACAGACACCACAGAAAATAGACATCCGTGTACTAAAACCACACAAATCAACTCACAGTGAATGAAAATTGAGGCTTGTTACATAACATTGTTTCATTAATGTATATAGCCTGGGATGGACGATTCAATTATTTCCGAGGTAAATCCCCAAAAGAAAACTGGCATATATCAGTTCAGTAGAAGTAGAAGTAGAAGTGGTTTGACGCAGCGGGTGCGATTTGGTTTCCCAACCTTGAAGTCAGGGTTTCAATCCCTCGCTGTGTATTTCTGGTGTCCTTGAGCAAGACACTTTATCTGCATTGCTTCTCTCCACCCAGGAGTCTAGTCTAAATGGGTACCTGGTGCAGTTGCCTGCTCCTGCGCTGATTTCCAGCAGCAACACTTAAACATGTGGACCCAATGACCAGGGAAAAGAACTGCGCATACCACATGGGATAGGTGCATTATTAATGCCCGTACCAGTACCAGTTCAATCAGGTAAGTATTCACAAAATAAACACGGTTACAGACGAGTATAGAGGTCTCTATTTTAATTCTATTTTATTCTTTCATTGTCAATATGTTTAATCTATTTACCTGTATGACAACGCAGCACTGGATGAAGTCATCAAACGCGATGACACCTCGCCCAGATCTGTCAAACTTTCGGATTAAGATGTCATAAAATCGATCAGACAAACGATAACCTATGAGAAAATATGGTAAGCAATCGACAGGTTCAATGCACGGATCTGTATTTGTGACTAAATATAACTTTAATTTTAGTTTGTTAGCTTGTAGCTGTTATAAGCCAACGATAAGTGATCAAGAACTGAAATACCCTAAATACCTGAATAAGCACTGCACTGAAGCCTCTAATCATGGACCTATTAATAGGTCCATGCTCTAATGTTGCAGCACTTATTCAAGGATTTACGGTCAATGGTTAACATTTGAACATGAAGGTATATCAAAGATTTATTATTGACAGCTGTAAATAATAATGAAACCTATCTCAAGATAATTAATATATCAGCATGTATCAAATGTAAAATATTGTATAACACTTTTAGATGGTTATCCCAGATAATAAATTTGACTCTGTTTCTCTAGTTTGTATTTGTTGCTTTTTCATGTGTGACATCGAACAAACAACTAAATCAAATGTACCATTACACATAACATAATCTTGATAACATAATATTATAACAGTATTTATGTTATGATCTGCTTAAACCAAGCCTCTTAAAGGAACCATAACACTTTATTATAATATTAGCTGTATCATCCTTGCATTCTTACCAAAATTCGTCAGGGCCTGTTTCAATTCATTTTTATCAATAGACCCTGAGTTGTCTTTGTCGTAACTACGAAATGCTGCTTGCCAATCTGTCACATACTTCCACAGACTTCCAAATTCTTGAAAATTAATAGTACCGTTATTATCCCTGTCAAACATTCCAATCATCAAACGAACAGTCTCAGGATTAAAGGGGGTCCACGTTCCTAGAAAATAAAATGAGAAAAAAAAACAATAGTTGTAGATTATTGGAGTTGACACACCACATTGTGGTTATAGAAAAAGATTGAAAATCATGCGACAATATTGAAGCTTGCTGGTTGCTTTCAGCCTAGCGTGCCTTGCATCAGCGGACAATCAGTAAATTAATTCGCACTCAATGTAACCCATGCCTGACTCAATCCCAGTTTGCTAATTGCTAACAGAATTCTAAGCGGATTGTCATTGAAAATGGTTGAAAAACGTGTGTTAAGCACCATCGTGTGGCATTTCATTGGGCGACGTCAGTTTTAGTTTTGAAATTAAAGAGCTAATTATGAGCGGAATATATTTTTTCCCAAATTCCTGATTGCCTAGGCTTACCATTTGAAAGAGCCTGCTGCAGTTCATTCACAGAGATAGCTCCACTTCTGTCTTTGTCTACTCTATAAAAAGAAAATAAATTTTAAGCATTATTATTGTTTTATTTTATTTTTTTTTTTTACATTCAAACTTCACATGGTACATTTACATTTTCTCTCCATTTCAATGCCGGCAGGAATGGGTTTTCCCATATAACTAATTACAGGCGTTACAGGGAAACAGTATACTGTACCATAGTTACCAACTGTATCGCCTCGTGCGGGATGGTCCCGCATTTCAAAGTGATTTTGGATGAAACACGCATTTTGCAGAAACACATGCGTGATCAGATAAACTAAATAAGAAATTTTGCCTCATCTTTCTTAGAAAACTGAATGTAAAAAATATGGAAGAGAGTAATAAACTGCACTGGCCATGGGGCAATATTGGTATAGGCCTTTTTCACACTGCGGTAGACATCTTCAATCGATGACAAACAGTACTGAGCAGCGAAGCGTAACCAATAGAAATAACATAGCATTTCGACCATATTTTGGGAGGTCATGTTACTTAAAAAATCATAAATCCTTAAAGGAGGGCCATATCAACATAATTTTTTCTTTAAAATGTTCGCAAAGGATATATCTAAGTACTGTATGAGTAACAAAAAATTAAAATTTGTTTAGTCTGTCAAAACTTAATTGAAATAATAGCAACACGCACTATACAAAATCGGTCTTCTATTTTCCAGTTAAGTTTTGACAGACTAAGCAAATTTTTTTTTATTCATACGGTACATAGATATATCCTTTGTGAACATTTTAAAGAAAAAAATATGTTGATACGACCTCCCGTTAAGGATATATGAATTTTTGAGTATACAATAACATGACCTCCGAAAATATGGCCGAAAGTCGAAACGCTATGTATGTTATTTCTGTTGGTTACACTTCGCTGCTCAGCACTGTTTGTCATCGATCGAAGATGTCTACCACAGCGTGAAAAAAAGGCGTATTTAGGACCTTAAACTTGACCCACAATGTTCGTTTTTTTTTCTCTTTTTCTAGGCCTAGCCTGTGTTTCACCAAATATTTCCCCGCCTCTCAAAGCGATCAAATTGACCTATCACTGCCGGTACGCTTGCTGCCATTGCCAATTTGTGGGCGTGTAGGGCCTAGGCCTAGCCAAGGACGTACATATAGGCTCCCTTCTTATTTAGAGCTAACAAACCTAGACCTACACGATTTTAATTGAAATAAAGAAAATATCCAAAAGTGGTCTTACTTCTGAAATATTCCCCAGAGATCAACACCTCCTGGTTGTGGAGGAGGCTGTTGTTGATGATGGTAATGTTGCTGCTGATAAGGATTGTTATACGCCATGTTGCTTTGACCTTATTAAAGTATATTATGGAACGCCATCAGTACATTGCAAATTATAATATTTTTAATTTTTATATTATAGGCGCGGCAGCCGATGAATACTGTACCATCTGAGTACGCGTTACCATTCCTTTAAATTAACACATACACAAGATGCTCTACATAGTCTCTTTTTCGGGCTTATGTTGTTTTTTTTTGTCATTTTTGCCATAGAGAAACATCCTGTCACTTGAGAATCGAACCCGGGACTGGCTATGGAGGCAAGCGTCATCATAACGAGCAGCATCTCCACTATTACTCTAGTTAGTAGTTCCCAGAGAGAGAGAGAGAGAGACTTCTACTATATCCACCTTCCGCACTTGCCAGTTTTTTAGGAGACTGTGTTGGGCCTTTAGTACATCGAAGTTATAGACTACGGTAGGTCTAAAAATGAGGCTGTGCAGTATATCACAAGACATTCGTCGGTAACAATGAACCAGTTAGTCGCCATTAGGATAAGTTTAATCGTCGCGAATTCATTTAATTTAATTCGAAACCGTCGATTTTCAGCTGTTTTCGCTATTTTTCGCACATTTCTCTTCATATCTTTACTTCTACTTGTCGGATTTTCGCCATTGTTGTTTTATTCTATTCAAAATTTAATAAAAGTTATAGTAAACTTAATTTTAATCCATAAGATTGCCAAATCTCGTCGGACCTTTAATTTTGTAACCGTGGTTTTCCAAAATTTTCCGTGTAAAACCTGCGGTTTTAGCAGAAATGTGGCGAACCGCCCGCTGATATTAGGCCGATTTTCGGCATTGTTGTGGCAACACGTAGCTTTATTTATAGGCTACAACATATGTACAAATCAATTTGATTGGTTAATAAACGACGTCGGACTTTTTATTTATGTAAGAATCAACCAGTAGCAAGTCAGTTTAGAAGCCAATGCTTTAGAATAGCGAATGAGTATTCGACCGTATTTTCGAGCAGAAACAGCTAAGCTTTGGAGTTAAAATTTAGAATGTTAATTGCATTATCTTGAAATATTATTTTGATTTTTAGTTTGTGCATGTGTAGATGAACGTATAGATATATTTTTTAATGTATTTACATAACAAATATAGTAGTTATGACAGTTTATAAATGACGATATTCTGCTAGGCCCACGTATTCTCTTCGGCGAAACTCCGGTTTCAGATCTGATAATCAGACCATACCATTTTCAATGGGTCATGCAAGTGCATGGTAGAATCATCTGTAATAGGCACATTTCTACAATGTTAAAAAAATGTATTCCTAAAGAAGTATAATATTAATATTACCTTTCTGTTTATTTTTAAGTACTATGAGCCTGCACCTACAACTTTGTCTACATTCACATAAACTAAATACCCCTATTTTACCATTGGTACATTTCGCATGCTTCAACGACCAGCCATTGAATTCGCTTCGACGCGTAAGGGGATTATCAAACCCTACGCAAGGGCAATTTTGACCAACTGGGTGATCAAACTTATCCTAATACAGAGCCCCCCCCCCTTTTTTTTTTCGTGGCGCTGAGGCCATCCCGTAGTTACCAAAAAGTGAGAGATTTGAAATGCGTGACCAACCCGGAGACAGCTATGGCCCCCAGGGGGTCCAGGGGCGGAGTCCGGTGGGGCCCGGGTTTCAGTTACATTAACGTTTGGTTGTGCCAAGGTAATTCGACAATAGGACGCACATCTCCGCTCTCGAACATAGCGCGTGCGTATAATCCTTTGATCTTTACTACTGTGGCATCGACAATCCGATACTAGTTCGTGTACGGCCGTGCGTGCCATACGTTTTATGGTGTTAGTTACTATTTTATTAATTTTGGGTACTTCGCAATGTCTGTTACATCTGATTTCTTTTGACCACGAGCTTGTTAAATGCTTCTATAAACTGCAATTTAATTTGTGAAAATTAACCAAGTAAACGAAAAGTTATAGCAATTGAAAATTTACAAATTTTATAAAATTTCATGTTCTTATGTAACATTAGACTGTCATTTTGACAATGTTGGACTAAGGTGCACAAAGCGAACATTTGAATCAGACCACCCGATTGCCTAAAAACTATAACTAAAAGTGCACAAATTATTCAATTACTGATTATCACGCTGATGTGTGCGCTATACCCTCTCCAGGTATTGTGCCAGTACAAGCATTGGCAGCGAATGGGTGATGAAAGAGCGCTGTTACGTTGATGTAACAATAAAAGCACTGATGGCGTTCCATAGTGTCAATCAGTACTCAAAAAAAAAAAAAAAACAAGAGGTAAAGCCTCAAACAAGATGGTTGCTAGGCCTGGCACTGGTCACTTGTCGAAATCTTAATGTAAACAAATTCTATAAAGGTTTGTATCATTTGGACAACTTTATATATGATCTGTAAATCAAAATTTTTTGTCCTTCTCAATGGGTATTCCACAAATTGGTTGCTACTTTTTTAGGCCTCCTCTAACTAATCTGGTACATCTGCAGACGATCGGGAGCGTTCAACAACCGTCTCATCATTCTCACTGCTCAGTTGGATCAGTGGCCTAGGCCTAGGCTAGAGTAGGCCAGACATATTCAATATGTTTGCTGTTTTGTTGATAGTTCGAGCAGCTTGTACATTTTGAGAACTTTACAAGGATTTCTTTGCACAAATTGGAAATTGTGCAACACATGCTCTGGTGCGCCACCCCCCCCCCTTAAACAAAATAAACACTTGCAATCCCCTCCACAGCCCTCCACCAGTCCCATTGAAAATTCTTTAATTGATGTAAAGAAAGTTATGTTCACAAATCACCTTTATTCATTTTATTTTGTGAGCTAGTTAACCCTCATTCACCTTCACACCACCCCTTCCCCATTTCTCCATTGATTTGCACATTTTGATCTTATTCTAAACCACAATAATTTTATTTTATGGATGAGTGCCCATGTTAGTGGCTGTCTCTTATACACATCTAGATGTGTATTGGATAAACATGGATCTATGTGTTGATGAGGAGAGGGGTGGAGCGAGTACATGAAGAAGTTTTTGTGTAATTTTTTTAAATTGTATATTTTTCGTTAATGAGTAAATAGTATTTAATATAACATAATTGGGGCTACCCATCAAAAAGCGCAATTTGAAAATACTTTTAAAAATGTTTATTTAGCTCATCGTTTGAGTGCCTTCACAGCTCACCAAATCTTGTCCACGCCTTGCCTTTGATGTTCTTCACAAAATCTTCTAACTCTTCCGAAATTTTACACAATATGATATGGGCAAGGTACACTCCTGTTGCATCTTATCTTTGGAATCTTTCATTAGGTCATCTACGTATTTTAAACCTGCACTTAAAACTCATCTTTTTAACAGCTTACCTTAACATAAACTGCACCTCATCTTTAAAATTGGCGCATTTACAAGTTTTTATTTTGTTATTATTAATCAAGTTTATCTCTATCTTTAGATAGTAGTACGGTATTGCAGATTTTCAACTTAAGTCAGTCATTAAATGGCTGAAGAATCAGAAAGATGAATCGACATGCGAGATCCGGTAGTGCTGGCATTGATAGTAGGGCATTCAGGGAAGCTATAGCCAGAATGCGACAGGAGGTGCTAGAAAGTAGAGCTGAAACTCAGAGAGTTAAGGACCAACTCAACTGTTTGATATTGCTTATAAAGCGGTATGGAAAAATGTTAAATTCTTCTTGTATTTATTTAATGGTCTATTTTTGTGAATACTGTACTGTACTTACAGTACCAGGATACACCGATAAATGGCTAAGTTATGCACATGTCATGCCAGTTAACCTTTCCACTAAGCCCTGCCCCTGGGATGCCATTGCTAAGGTCCTCCAAATCGGCAGTGTAAAAACATATATGCAAACACATACATTTGTGGGACTGCTTGTGAGTTTGTCAGGCATGCCCATATACCTGCCACTGTTCTGATTGGTCAGTTGTTAAGTTGATTGACATTCCAGAAAGGTTTATTATACTTTCCATCCCATAATAATAATAATAATAATAATAATAATAATAGATGGATTTATAAGCGCAAATAAACGATGTCTCTATGCGCTCTGGACTAGATGTTGCACTTTTTCATAACTTTCTCCTCCGCTGAGGGTCACTTTATGTCCTCTGCAGCCTGTAAACAGGCGTACTTTCATCTGACTTGTTCCACCACCAGAACTATAGGAGCAAGCCGACCGCGAACCTGTGCGGATATTGTTGGCTAATCTATGATCACGGTGCCCCTGCCTTAACCACTCGGCCCTTTAGCTCGCTCATGACATACGCATACATACACATGCAAACACGTGGGAGCAAAACATGTACAGTATGATTGTCTTTTTTTGGAATGTGAAAGTATGAAAAATGCGAGTTATGCTATTGTTAATGTTATTGTGTTGAAAAAAAAAATATAGATCATGGAATGGAGACAAAGCCGCAACCGTGCATGTTTCAAATATTGTGGGTAAGATGTTTTTTTTATGTTTCCATTAATGCCATGTGAAACTCAAACCATGTGTAAAAGAATAAATTAAAAAAAAAAAAAAAATTGGTGCCAGCAATTCAAATAATTTAATCAGCTTCATAAGCTAAATGCAGGCATATATCTTAATTTTTGAATTTGTGATTATAGATTGTGATGATATTGTTATTGATGATAATAATAAATATTTAAGAAAAACATATCATTATCATCATCAGAATCAAAGTTATATCATAATCATCAATAATATTATTGTTATTATTTCATAGGTATGGCCCCTCCAATGTTGCTAATGGAAGAACCTGTTAATGAGCAGAATGAAAAATATGTTCCAGGAAAGGTAGTAACCATCCCATCCCATACTTCATATATTTAAATATCCCCTCATTTCAGCATACTATAGATCTCTGATTTTAGGTGTAGTTATGAAGTGGAGGGCGGACTATATGGTGTAACTAATGAGTACCACAAGATTGGCTAATCAATCAAACCTATATTACCGTATTTATTTGAATAAACATCCCATGCAATTATTATTGATTAGGGTTTCTGAAGGGGGTTTATTTGAGGGAGTGTTTATTCCAAAAGAGGCTCTTGAGGGGGGGCGTTTATTCGAGTAAATACGGTATTACGGTCAACAAAACACATATATCTCAGACAAAATTTTGTTGATTGATGCATATCTAATGCATTTTAAAATGTTTTTTGTGTACATTTGCAGTATATGTATATATTTATAATTCTGTTTCAATTCTGTAAGTGGCAACATACAAAATAAAATAAAATATACAGTAATCACACAAATGAGATATGCTAGTTGGATATCTCATCCGTTTTTTGTTTCTTTTTGTCAAGCTTTGATCAGCGCATCAAAGCCATCCCAAATTCGGACGGCTTTAATGCGGTATACGGTATATAGATTTTACAGAAGTAGCATATCTAAGAGCATAGCCATTAGTGTTGCTTCTTATTTCAGTCAAGAGCGTATAATCACTGGGCAATGCTTACGCTAGGCCTCCTCAATCAACATTACAAACATCTAGAGGTTCATGCTCTGGCTAGGGCCAAGGCAAGGCTCGAGAGTAGGCAGAGCTACCTAGAAGAGCAGCTAGCCTACCATCGTGACTTGGTTCTTCAGACAAAGTCGATGTCCTTTTCTGTTCCAGTAAACAGTGGAAATTTCTTTGTAACAGAACAGGTATGTAAATTTGAATATTATTTGTAGATTTGTATAATATTAGATCACAAAAATTTAATAAATCTTTCCCAATTACAAATGATTTTATTATGAGTTTTGTAAATAATAATTTAGTTATAAAATTTTAAATTACTCTAGTAATTTACTGTATTTATTCAAATAAATGAGTCCAAATGAGACTCTAGAGTCTTATTTGGAATAAACGCCTCCCTTGAATAAACACCCCGAGGCGTTTATTTTTTCCTGGTATAAACGTCCCCCAAATGACTGTAGACAAATCTAATGCAGTAGAATTACATTATTCCTAACATGGTTGAAAACAATAAGTCTTTATGAATAATAACACATTTTGACAGTGATTATGTGTTGCAGTTCCATATTTATAGTGAAATTAAGAGCATATTTCAGTGTAATTTTATAGTGTAATTATATGTATTTATTTTACACCAAAAAAAATAAGCACCTTTCTCAAATAGATGCCTCCTCTGAGTAAACATCCCCTCAAGAACCCTTCTTAACAAAGACACCCCGGAGTGTTTATTTGAATAAATATGGTAGATAAAGCAATTGTACCAAATAGATATCATTGTAATTTGTGGTAGGCATACACAGTTTGATTTTAAACCAATCACAACATAACTTTCATTGTATTTGCCATTGTGTATTAAGTTTGAGGATTTCAGTAGTTAACGCAGTGTGTTATTATTAGAATAGTAAGTCATAATAATATAAAAATACCTTTTTAGGTGGGTCACTGTTAGAGCATGAGTCACCACAGGGTTTTCGGTAACTGGTTGTTATGCACTTTTGATTTTCTAGAAGGAACACAAAAATGGCAAGTTGGCAGTACTAAGCAAAGATAAAAGACCTGTGTCTGGAAAATCCACTTTCCATGTTACTAGTACTGAAACACAGAAGGAAGCAAGTCCAAATGATATGCTGGATATAATACTGGACACTAGCTCAAGAACAAAAACATTCTGCAAAGTAATAATAATAATATTATTTGAAAAACAACATGCTCGATATAATTTGTATTTTATGGCGAAGGCTGTTTGGCATAGCAGTTTCTATACTGCTTATGAAAACCTACAGTATACTTTGTTGGTGTCTGATGATGTGTAAGACAAAACAGTATATATAGTGCCCTGTATGTAATAATCATTAAATGTAGCACCATCTGTGTTATTTTTTTTATTGTAGTGGAACTGCTATAGATTACAGTCGTTGGTCGGTATACTGTAGCTTCGCTATAAAGAAATTTATATTGACAAATTCACTTCATTTTTATGAATTTTAGAGTATAATCGGCCTATACATTTTATAAAACATTTTTATGATGCCGAGATAATACAACTTAGACGTAAAAAGTGGATGCTCATGCCTGAGACTCGCGCATTATGCGTGAGAGTTTGCAGGTGTACTACCTCAACATTTTCCCATCCTGTTATTAACCATACCCAATGTTGAATAACCTCAGTGATCTGGTGAGAACTGGTGTTCCAACATAGTACGTGTATAGCTGAAAACTACTTAAAATTACTTACTTTGTGTATTTACATTGCTTTCAACTGAGAACCAGACATTTTTTACTTGTTAATTATTACCAGATGTAACACATGACTGCCTAGCCAGCTACTGCCTAGCAAAGCAGTGGCTGAGCTGACTGTAAAGGCATCTTTTCAGTCTAAAACATTGTAGTCTAAGTTGAGTGTCGCTACACTGCGTCCCCAGGGACCCAGTCCAAATTTCCACAGTGTATTTACATTTGAGGACAAATAAAGATTTAAAAAAAAAAAAAAAAAAAAAAATTTTAATACCAAAGATACAGGTAGATGTAAGTATGGTAGGCATACACTTACTTTGTAACCATTTTATTTTTCTTTCAGCCCGGCCTGTTTGATGCTAGCCAAGTGGTTGGTGACCGCCCAAAGCCAAAGCGACCGGTAAGTGGACAGCAGCAAAGGAAGGCTGACAGTACAAGAGCAAGACCATCAAGTGCAGGTAACAGTTTAGAGTGTGGCTAGTATCATTATCAATTGACCTTCAACTGATTCAAACTAAAAATTTGGACTTTGTTATAGTTGAGTATAAGTGAGATGAGGCTATTGCAGGGGTAGATTTAGAAAGTTAAAAAAAAGAAAAAGAAATTACTGATCGCCCAAAACGCCTCAAATGTTATTTCCGGGCACCTAGAAAACTAAAATTTGCTGAGGGTAGTTTTGTCTCTTGATCGTACCCCCTTCCCTTTAGACACCTCTAGATCTGCCCCTGGGCTATCGGCAGATAATGGATGCATGGCTGTTTTCTTTGTTTAAAAGTCAAGTGTTATGGGGCTGTCTGATAATATTCGTATCTTTTGCTTATAATGTAATTATGTTAATTTATTCAATAAAGATTGATTCCCTACACAGATAACTAATTGCTTATCAAACTTTTCTGTTCCTAGTTGTAACAAAGGGTGAGCGACCACTGAAGTCAGAGACAACTCGACCTGTTTCTACTGGAATATTCAAAGGTCAAAGAGCTAAATCAGCAAAGGTCAGAGGCCATGAATCCAATAACACCAAGACACTACATTCTTTAATTAATCCTACAATGTCAAAGGTGAAATTTGACAAAAAAAATATACATCATAAGGACTCCATATCGGACGATTTGAGGAAAATGGAAATTATGGAAGAAGAATTTACGAAGACTACTAAATTATTACAAGAAAAACTTGGTATACAGGGGGGTGGTATCATTTGAGGTTTAGACATAGAGTTATAATAATTTAAGAAAATGATATTTATGTAATGCCTACCCAAAATATGATGCCACATGATAAAGCTGTCTAAAGTGCAAGTTTTCCATATATGGGTGTGATATGACATTGTCATGCCTATATATGGGCAATTCATATATTTTTCACCAACACCTTGACACCTTAAAGTTGACATATACTAGAGTGCTAACTAAGCAAATAAGACTAAGTAACATTTGTGTATTTTTGCCTGCAAAAGGGATTTGTCTTCCACAATTTGTCATGAAAGCCAAAGGAACTTTTACTTGTGAAACATTTTAACCTGATGTGTCAGTTTGTCACCAGTCACCAGTTTTATTATTTGTAATAAAGCTCTCAGTTCATGCATTTAAAGTGGCCATTTTCATGGTTAAGGAATGTAAAGCTTAATCCATCCATTTACAAATATTTATATTTATTTTTTTCATTATATGTGTTGTAGGTTCAAGTAGATTTTCACGATAAAATATACATTTACTGCACATTGTAATGTGTTGTCAACAAGACATGTCAGGTTTAATTGTTTGCATGTAGTGTAAGTCAGTTTTAGAAACACCTGGTTTTTGGTTTGTGTATTTATTGGAAAGAGATAATAGAGAAGATGGTACATAGACAAGGTGGTAAACTGAAGGGGGCACAAATGTCAGGATTTAGGGAGGTGGCATGCCAACCCCGATTCCCTTTTTGGAAAGTAAAAATAAAAAAAGAAATTATTGATTGCCCAAAATGCCTTGGAGGTTATTTTTAATTTCTTTCCGGGCATCTAAAAAAAAAGAAATTCCCAGGGGCCCCCTAAGGTAGTGGTGTCTCTCGATAGACCCCCTTTCGGACATCTCTGCATCCACCCCTCTCCTAACAGGTGCTGACTGTCATTTTATCTTAATGAAAAAAACCTGTGATATCCATCCTAGTACTACTGTATTGAGAAAACAAACAAATTGTTTCATTTCAAAGTGTAGACAAATATTCCATCCAAATTAGCAGGCTGTTAAGTATTTTGTAACAAATGAAATGTAGTGTTAAATAGTCAGTGTGCGCATAATTTACATGATTAGTATTATTTCTTTTTACTTTTTGTACATGGTTCCAGAAAACCTGTAGACTTGGATATACCTGCATTGATGGTGCAGCAACTCCAATGTTGGTCTTGGATTACTAAGAGTTGCCCAGCCCCACCATGGTATTTTCTTTGGGTAACAAGTGAGGTAACACATGGGATTTTTACTGTTCCTAGTGAATGGGTTGATATTATGAAGTGATTTGAGTATTTGTCCAGACTACTGTATCTCAGCTTCCCTATAACTGAGCAAAATGTTATGCCTATGGCACCTCTAGGTGGCTAGAAATGGCACTCTCTTAGATTTATATGTACTGTATTTTTCTTTTTTCTAATTTTTAATAATAAAAAAAAAATTAAAGGAGGGATGGGGAAACGAACCGTTCATTTCACTGTTACCTGATTACCCCCCAATCTTCCCCAGCTACCCGGCAACTGCTTATAACTATCAGAATGGCCTAATCCTGTTAAAGCAATTTCATACTTCTATATACAGCAATTGAATAAATTTAACATTTAACCTTGGTGGGGAACATGGGGATGGCGACCTTCATGCCCACTGGACAGTAGATATACCACTTGGTTTGAAGTAGCATAATCCAGTATCGTCTGTATTTTATAAAACGAAAGTAGTCGAACATTAAAATTCCAATATATCAGTTAAACTTGCCTAAGTCGAATAATTTTTTAAGTCGATCTTATTTTACATGCCAAATTGTTGTGTTTTCCATTAATTAACGATCTGTAAGTTGAGTTTTATCAATTTTAACAATTTTTCAATGCCATTTTGGATTGGACTTCAACCTCTTTGCGCTTTACATTAACAGCAAATGCCGGATCAGAATTAAAAGAAAAGATGATGGGAAATGAGCGAAAATCTTCCTTTTTACACAACCAAATCAAAATCAGAAATGTATCAAAATAATAACTGGTTAATTTTATGGTTATCAACAAAATGTATCACAACCAAATATAATTTTAAAACATTTTAATAAATATCAGGTTTGAGCACAGGTTTTGAATCTTGTTATTATCACAATGCAAATAAGTTAATACATTTCAAGACAGATAAAGACACATAGACTAACAAATGCATTGGAATAATTTCAAGTTCTCTGCATTTTGTCTGTGCGCAATATTTAAAATGGTACCATGAATGTGACAGATATACATAGGCCTACCATATTTATTCAAGATTGTTTTGGAGAAGGTGTTTTTGAGGGGGCGTTTATTCTAGAGAGGCTTTTATTTTTTTGGAAAATGGATATGCATACACTCAAATAAACGCCTATTAATTTCACCGTAAACTGCAGCACATAACAGACCTTTCTGGAGTGTCAATCAAACTTAACAACTGACTAATCAGAACAGCGCAATACGCGCCGTCTTACAAACACACGTGTTGTCCCACAAACGCACGTGTTCGCGTACGTTTTAACACTGCTGTCTTGTGAGACCTTAGCAACAATATCCAAGGGGCGGAGCTTAGCGGAAAGGTTCATTATCTACAAAATGTTAATACGGTTTCAAAAGGACATATTTATCCCATGCTAACAAATGTAACTCTACAGGAGTAGAACATTAATAGAATGTGTTGAGAATGATGTTGCTTCCATTAGATTTGATAACATTCATGTAGGGGCGTTTATTAGAGGAAAAATTTATTCGAGGGAGGCGTTTATTCCAAATTAGGGCCTAGGCTGTAGAGGGGGCGTTTATTCGAATAAATACGGTATTACCAAACGTCATGCTGTAACACATGTTTTCTGTGCTTTTCCTATCACTTAATGGAAGCGGCAAAGAATATGTATGTCATGGGTGCAAGTTAAATAGAACTTCAATATCGTCATCATTGCCACTGAAATGTTGCATTATTGTCATGTATGTATTGATCATATCGGCTCTGAAAATTGCATTCTGCCGTGGACGCTACACAATCATTTTTGATTGATTGATAGATAGATCAATGCAATTATTTCACATGATTTCAAAATCAATTTTACATTGAAATTGAAGGCTAGTCAAAACTTCAAATATATCTTTATATAATGTGTGTGCCAGGCCTATTTGTTAAGACAACGGTATGGTATTGGATCGTAAGAGTCATCTATCGAATCAGGTCAACGTGAGGTAAAAATAGAACGCATGAATGTATACTTAAGTCTATAATCAATAGGCGGAATTATTGTTGTTGCTTTATTTAATAAAGCAACAACATCCTAAAAATAATAAATATGCCTTGGGTCACAAGTTTTCAATTGATTGAGAAAGTTATTTTTATTTCAAGGTTATATGAAGTTATTAAAAATTTAATTAAACTCGTTTAATGGTGGTGGGACTGGTGTGGTTATACACTCTATCTCCATGAAGTTTAAATCTTGTGGCTGGCCCTTAAGGGGAAGAGTAGCGGCTCTACATGTTGTCAACTGCTCTTTCCAGGCATCAAGTTGCCAAAAATGTGGTTCGCCAACCATGGTTTTTTAAGCGCCTCTTCCATTCCGTTCCTATTTAAGTGTACTAAAATATAAATGATTATAAAAATCAAATCAAATCATTTATTGACTCTATACAGACACCATTTACACCAGCGGCACTCAGGAGGTCCGTCAATCATAACAAATAATTTAAAAGAAAACAACTTAACTAGAAAAATATATATATTCTTTATTCAGCAAATATATACATATACACACACATATAATTATATGTATATATATATATATATATATATATATATATATATATAATGCTGTTGTGTTAATTGAGACTTTATAAAGTATAATATCACATAAGGTTAAGCAACAACCACTTTCCCTGGCCCGAGGTTGGTCTCTTCGAATTATTAAGTAATAATACTCTTCGTATTATTAAGTGTAAGTCAAGATTCAAGATTGAATTTATTGTCACCTATAAAAAATATAAATGAACTTTGTATTCCTCTGATTATATAATAACACGATTTAACATACCCATCACAATAAATATAAATATAAATACTACACAAAATACAATAGCACCAAAAACTAAACAATGGAAAGTCTGAAACTGACATTGTACTTCAAAACGACAACATTTCAAAAAACCCCATTAAATGAAATAAAAAATAAGGTCTACATAGAACCAATAGCAGGTAATCAATTTTCAGAAGACAGTTATGGACCATTATGCCGAATATAATATTTTTATCACTTGAATTAGATTATAGTAATAATAATGTCAATATCTATAGCGTTGTTGTTGTCGCCTGGATTCTGGACGGGTCTGGCCCGAATCTACGTTGTGCAGAGAACGTATGACGGCCACGGATCCAGCGTTACATCGTCTTTTTATAGGAATGACTCTTCATAATAATACAGACAATAGTAAAAGTCGATCGATTTTGAGTTTAATTTCTGCACTCGGTCCTTAATTAATATAAATAAATAATACAAGTCTGCCTATGACTGTTTACGGGAGCATACATAATTTCCTTCGTCAGAGCTTGTTCATCTCTGTAATTGTAGTAACATGTTCTTCTATCGATTTGGAGTAATTTAAGAATCGACAAACTCTGTTTTCAGTTAACTGTTTGAACTCGTCTATTTCAAAATAACTCTTCACACAAACAACCAGAATGATATAGCTCAAACTGTTAATGGTTATACCACCTCCATGGTTATACTCGTGGTTATAAAATAATTATCAACTCAAAGATGAGAATGTTTCGTACAGCAACGTGTATTTTTAGTGCAATCTTTTTTTGTATGACTTTAGGTAAGTAGAAATATCAATTACAGTATTTAGCATTTCGTAATAGTTTCGCATACTAAGTATTTGGCTACTGCGAACTGCTGTAGCTACTACACTATACTACTACGCTAAAGTCCTGGCCAGACTATCAAATTTCATTTGACAAAAAACAGTTTGTATGTCCATATATAGTCATGATATGCCTATATATAGTCATGATATGCCTATATATGGTCATGGTCTGATAACATCATGACCATATTTAGGCATATCACATACAAGAAACATTTTGAGTACATTTGTTTCAAGTTTGTGGAGTTTCAACTGTTGGCTGTTGAAAGTTGGTCAAGACTGGGTAATGTTTTTTTTTTCATCTGTGGTATAGGCCTAATTGTTATGTTATATTTTCTTTATATTGAATATGATTGTTTTGTTAATTGGTTTAGAGAACACAATTACAGTATGTAAATATACTCTTGGTGGTACTGTCTGGCCGAGTAAAGAAATTTATAATATATTTCATTGTGCTAAGACAAAATACCAGTAAATGAAACTATGTTGATAATAAAGCTCGCAGTAAGTTAACATCCATTGTGTTTGGTTTATTAACGATCAAAACAGTTCTAATACTAAAATGAAATTGCGCATTAGCTACAGAAAACAATAAAACTTTACAGCTTGTGAGAATATTTGGATATTTGCCTATGCCAATATACAATGCAAGCAACAGGATTTTTTTTTTCTTAGATGTACAAAATTAATTAAGTTGGAAGAAAGAAACATTGGAATTTCAAATTTCAAACTTAAATTCGTTCAGATAAAGAAAATCGTACTTATGAAATATACGTTTTCTTAAGTTATTAGGGAGATTTCTCAACCTTACGAAAATTACAACGAATACGTCATTAACTTTGTTGTCATTCGTGTCTAAAACATTCTTGACAATATGCTGTACTAGCTGAATGTGATCCTTGATTCATGTAAAAGGCATGAATCGTCTACGTTGTAATGGATATGCTACTGTAGGGGAAGGGTTTGCTAAAAAATTGATGACGTAACCGTATTCGTTTTCGTAAACTTGTGAAAACTCCCTAATAACACCCGTTTTATCCAAATTCATCATTAGGTGGAACAGTCAATGCTCAGACGACTGCGGTTACAGTATCTGAACAACAGAAAGAAGGTAGGTTAATAACAATGATGATGATGATGATGATGGTGATGATGATGCTTATTATTATTATATTCATAATAATGATAACGATAATCCTATAAATAAAACATGCACTATTATTGAATCTCAAATTGTTATTCATTATATTTTTCTATAATATTTTATATTTATTAATATTATATATAATTGTGTTGTGATTTCAGTGAGCATACGACTTAGCGGCGGAAGTTATCCGTGGGAAGGACGGATTGAAGTATATTATCGTGGAGAATCATGTTCCTTCTGGGGCACTTGTGAAACCGTTTGGTCTTGGGGTACTGTCTGCGATGACCATTTCGATATATCGGACGCGCGAGTTGCTTGCCGTTCTTTAGGCTATCAGGATGCTCTCAGTACAGGCCATTTTGGAGATGGAAGCGGTGAAATCTGGCTTGACGACCTTGGCTGCGGAGGTGAAGAATCATATCTTTGGGACTGCTCGCATCTGGGATGGGGAAGCCATAACTGCTTTCATTTTGAAGATGTTGGTGTAGTTTGTGGTAGGTTTGAAATAACAGGTAATTGTTACACAGTAGATCCCCTATTTAGAGAGAACTTTGGGACCAAAAATAAGCGTCTACATAATGGGGGCGTCCCCTGAATAGGGTTACCGAATTTAGGGGTGTCTGAAACGAGAGGAAATAAGGAAAAAAATAAAGAAAAACTATTACACTAACAAAAATCAAATGAATTTTAGATATCATCCAATTCTCTTTAAAGATACTGTCTGCCAAAACAAAGCTTTGATGTGCTGTATCGCAAGCATAGGCTGGCCCCCTATTATTTCGCCATGTAAATCTTTTAAATTTAAAAGTATCAACTCAGCTATAAACTTTCATGCAGAAACAGATCGAAAAAACAAAAAGTTTTCACAGATTTAAAGACGTTTTTCTACATAATTCCTTAAATTAATTACCAGCCAATTTAAGGACGCAAACAATAATGGTTAATGGTTATTAATTTATAGAGCGCAAAATACAAAAAGTCTCTAAAACAAAAAAAAAAAAAAAAAAAAAAAAAAAAAAAGTCTCATACAATACGGGAATTACCAGCCAATTTAAGGACGCAAACAATACGGGAAACGTATATTTAACTGTCCGTTAATTAACGGAGGAAATCTTCTCATTCTAGTAATTAATTGTAGTAATAACTTACTTAGATGTATAAATTAGGCAATTAAAATATGAAATTAATATATATATATATATATATATATTCTTTATTCATTTATTTACAGGACTACATTCGTTGAGAGCTATGCTACGCGATGTATTATTGTCCTTTATTAAACATTGTATTTACCTTTCTTTGATGATTTATTATATATATATATATATATAGTATATATAGTATATATAGTATAGTATTAGTATAGTCATATATAATCCTTAATATATAATAATTTTATATATTATATATATAAAATGTAACATATGAAGAGTGAAATCGTTCTGCGGTAATGCTTTGTACTAATATATCAATTTTAAACGGAAGAAGAGAAATCTGTGAGTGCGAAAAAATCGCCTCAACCTGGATTCGAACCCCGGACCTTCTGCTGTATAGTTAACAGAAGAGGAATCTGACAAAGACAGAAAAAAAAAACTCAACCTCCACTTGGACACGAACACGGAGCTTTCGCATAGCTTATATGGCGAACGTCATAACCACTTGACCACAAAGGCATTGTGGTGGTTTATGAGTTCTTTTCATTCTTTTAAAATGTCTGACGTCACGATTTTGATAACGCACTATTTTCGCACGTGGCCAAACATTATACAATTTGTCTTAATATGATTTTTGTGCGGGACATACCGTGGTACACCTGTAACCCTAAGTCTTAAGTGTTGTAAGCGGTGCGCTTTGAGGTCAGAGGTCACTGACCTACCTTTTTGACCAAATTTGACTAATATCTATATTTTAGGGCACAACATTTGATAACATGCATATTAGAATTAGGCTCATTTTAAAGCTGAGGGCTGAGGGATCATAATAGTGATTATCACTAAAATTGATTTTGGTAATTATTTTGCAAAATATGGAGGAAAAACTTCATTTAAAAAAAATTTTAGGTAAAATTTCATATTTCTATTTTTATTAATTACCAATATGTTAATTACAATTACTTTAGATTTTCGTTTTTCACTAAGACTTCGAGTATGTTGAATATAAACATGACTCTTGCCATCAGTTTGATACATACGGTAATTTAGCTCTCTATGACAAGTGGATTTCGAGATAGCTTTTTTGTGATAAAAATTGAGTGAAAATCACTATTTATATTACTATTTATTATATTTAAAAAATAAATATTCTTCCATTATTCGTAGAGCAATGCCTATTACCCACGCTGATTGAATTGCCCGAAAGAGTCCTCTCTCTCAACACTTTCATAATGTCAATGTCCAGGAAAAATACATTAGTTTTCTTTAAATATGATGAGTATGCCTACTATGAAGTCCAATATTGGAAAACATAATTTTCGTTCGGTTAGTATATAATCATAGCAATTTTGATGTTTGTATATAGATATTGATGACTGTAGCTACTACTCTCCTTGCCAAAATGGTGGAGTTTGCAGCGATAGTATTGGTTCGTACACTTGTACATGTCCTATCGGCTTTGAGGGAACTGACTGTGAATGTAAGTTTGTAATGTCTGAATGTATGGCTATAATTTTCAATTTCACATTTTCATAGTTTATTATCATTAATATTATTATTGTTATTATTATTTTTATTATATTTAGATTATGATTATGATTACTACTACTACTACTACTACTACTATATTATTATTATTATTATTATTATTATTATCTTTATTATTATTATTATTATTATAATTATTATTATTATTATTATTATTATTATTATTATTATTATTATTATTATTATCTTTATTATTATTATTTATAATCTGTAGCATGCAGAAGTCCTGTAGACTATGCATAAACACACATGATTTGAGATCAAAATGTTGTAGTCAATTAGGGTAAAAAGTTCTTATCATTGTGGATGTTGCAAGCCTGCAGATGACACACTTATTTCAAATCATGAAAGCATCAGACAACCGATGGCCTAAATAAACGTCTTCGGATCGGAACCTACCGGTATGAAAAACAACATGGATCATCGAAGTCCGAAGTGATATTAATTTATATTTCAGATTAATTGTTGTGGGAAAAATAATGAATTTTACAGACGTTTTCCACTGCCACGCGTCTTTTAATAGACAAAATGTGGTGTTTACGTATTTCTGCATTATATATATGTGTTATATGGAACACCAAAAGAGCAACATTTAACGTTCATTTCTAAGGATTAAGGCTATATGAAACGCCATAAGGGAAATTTTCAACACATTCAATTTTAAAGTACATAGTCGGTTAGCAAACACAGTAGAGTTTTGTTAGCACGGTCGGTTTTCGGGTTATCAATGAGTTACAGTAAAATTCTGCTTTAGCTGCCCCTGACAAAAATATGTTATGGTAGGCCTATATTGTGTAGACCTACCTATATTGAAAATCATGTTAATTTTAATTTTAATGCGAACTAAAACGTTTTTCAAAGAAACTTATGGAAAGATCTGCTTTGAAAATCATGCAACCTATCTTTTTTAGTCGTCATATTGTTCTCTTTTAAATCTAAATTAATCGCGAGCATATTGTCTAGTCACTATAATACTAATAACAACAATAATAATAACAATTTGTATAACACAATACTATTTTACTATATATATATATACTGTCTCTTATACACATCTAGATGTGTATAAGAGACAGGATATATATAGTGATTTATTTGACCGCTGCAGAGAAGAAATTTATCTAAAAGAATGTCGTAAAACGATACAATTTTTTATTTTTACAATAGTTCAACTGCAGTGCCAAATCTATTCTATGCCTCACTAGTAGGCCTAACTGTGCGTCTAAAAGCCTGGGGAGGCTTCCTTTAGCCACTAGGCCTTAGGGAGGGCCTAGGTCTGTATTGATTTAAAATGGAAATACAGCTTGTTTGAATACCGGTAATTAATAATAGGCCCTAAATGGTATAAGGCTAAGGCCTAGATAGATCGTCATTGCCTAAGTGTGTCAAATAACCCCTATTAAGGGGACACTTAATTTTTTTTTCATTGTATGACAACATCTACAACACTCTAAAAATAAGAAAATTTCATTAAACTATACATTTTGACACCTTTTCAGCAATAAACCAAAATTTTCTCCCCTTTATGCACGAGTGAATATCAGCATAGTTACTGCATGTGTTACTTTGTAAACCCAGGTAAACCAATCTTCACTCTTAACAATGGGTATTTTTTGTCTTTGTTTTTCGTGTATTTCATATGGGATTCTAATCCATATCAAAACATACTGTATTACTCTATTCATGCTACATCCATCTAATTGAAAGCTCTAAAGGGATTGTTATTATTTGCAAATAAACCAGTATTTATTTACCTTTTACACATTACATACATATTAATCATATTATACTATTTGAAACCATATGAAATTATTTTATCATTTAATAGAAAGCAATATTTAAAAAAAATATATTAGTCATCAACATTGCATAATGAAACGATATTGAGAATATATAAAACTGAGATAAGAAATAGTAACGAGATAAACGGCATGATTCTTCCAGTTTCTGGTAAAGAATTAAAAATTTGTCAAGTAGCTGATGATACGACAATATTTGTAAGAAACAAACAAAGTATTGCCACTGCATTAAATGTTGTAGAAAAGTTTTGCACCACATCTGGCATGAAACTCAATAAAGCTAAAAGTCAAGGACTCTGGATTGGTGCTTCCTAAAGCCTGCAATGAAAACCCTGCTGAGATAAACTGGCCAAACACGCCCATAAAAATTCTTGGAATCTATGTTGGACACAATAAAGAAATTTGTTATCAGAAAAATTGGGTCGATAAAATTATTCAATTAAATCACACATTAGAATGCTGGCAAATGAGAAAATTAACTTTCTTTGGTAGGGTGACTATACTGAAAAATTTAGGCCTTTCAAAATTAATATATATTGCTAGCGTACTTGAAGTACCTTATCTTCAATTTCACATGGAATGATAAAAAAGAAAAGATAAAACGAAAATCCTTAATTTTAAAACAGAATAATGGTGGAATTAACGTCCCTGATTTTGAATCAATATGCACAGCTTTGCTGATATCATGGGTAAAACGACTGTTAAGTAAAGAAGAAGCCAATTGGAAAGAAATTCCTCTTGCGTATATCAATAAAATTGGTCCTAATTTGAGTGCGCTTGAAATGCCAAACCTATGTAAAAATATAGTATTAACAAATTTACCAAAGTTCTACACCAAGGTCGTAGTGGCATGGTACTCCATCGGTGGTGGTAGAACAAAGTATCCAACTTTTACAAAGGATATAAAAGAACAAATCAGATGGAGTAATCCTTATATTAAAATTAATGATAAGTCACTATACTTCAAAGAGTGGATAAATGCTGGTATTATTAAATTAAAAGATTTATTAATAAACTCAGAAATATTATCTGAAAACACAATCAAAGCAAGATTAGGTAATAAAAGAAATTGGATTGCACAATATTTTCAAATAAAAAAAGCCATTCCTAAAATTTGGCTGAACTTATTGAAAAGTGACAAACATACTGTAAGTAGTAAGGAGACACATGCTGAACCCAGTATTTATATAGAGGAATCAAACAAATACATAAATATAGAAAAAAAATAGCACTAAAGAGTGTAGACGATACTTAATTCAAAGAAAATCAATAAAACCAAAATGTGAAGGTAAATGGAATAGATATTTACAGGTAATAATATTGATTGGGAGAAAGTATGGACAAAACAAGTTAAAGACATAAAGACTCCAAAAAAGCTGAATTTAACTTCAAATTACTACATAGAATTTTACCAACTAAGAAAAGTTTATATCAATGGAAATTAGATGATTCACCATTGTGTGTAAATTGTGCAACGATAGCTGATGAAGAACACATGTTAATCACGTGCAAAAGTCCAGGAAACTATTGAAATAATGTTGCATCTATATTTAAAATTAAGATTAATATTACTTTCAAAAATGTTGTATTAGGTATAGCAAAACAAAACAACATCACTAATGAATTAATTGCAAAAGCAGCTTATACAATTTATACAAACTGGTTATACCCAGTAACAACAGATCCATGGGTCTTATTTTGCAAATTCAATTCAAG